TTGCGTGGAATGCGCCAGCGAATTGGCTGATTCTAGGTTTTTGCCGACGCCAGCTGACAAGTTGGTCCTGCGCGGAAATGGTTCGGTCGGGAAGAAGCAAATGAAAGAAAGAAACAAATATCGATGAATGTGAGAAGACGAAAGGGGGGGTCTGGCTGGGTTGGGACTGGCAGATTGTGTAATATTCTTGTTTATCTCGCACTGCCAAAACCATTGGCCCATTTGATCGAACCGATTCGATGCGATTCGATTCGCTTCATTCCACCTCCTCCTCGCCGCCGAACCATCGGAGCCAGATCGCTCGTCATTAAAATTGTAATAATAATTAATAAAGTGAAAAAAAGATCGCGATCGCATCTCCCTTTAAAACGCCATTCGCCCCAAATTTGTCCGCAGATGGTGTTTCACTTATTTTTTTTATTCCGCCCTCCCTCTCTCCCACCCTCTCTGCCAAGTTACTTCCTTCTATTCGCATTCGACTCGACTTTCACTAGTCGGTTACAGTTGTTATCTGTCAATTGACATATTTCAATAGTTTCTTCCCCAACCGCTTCCCCTCTTCTTCCCCACGGCGATTTTTGTGCTCACATCGGTTTACTGTAAGATTTGTGCGGGTCTTGAAGCGACGAATTTCAAGTGAACCCATTTTATTGTTTTGTTTGTTTGTTTTCACGATTTTGTGGCCCACTGAAAATTGCGGAACTAATTAGTCAAAAATGGTGTTTTTTGATCTACGACGATGAAAAAAAAAAGGCCCCGCAAGAATGTCTCGACGAAACGATTGCGCAACCGAGATCTCGACGTCCTCTTCTCTTTTCGTTTTTTTTTTTTGGATGTCGACCTCTCATCGGCGATTTTTGAGTGCAAAATTCAGAATTTTTCTTGGATTTTTAATTTTTTCAATCAATTTTTTTAAGCAAAATTTTGCATTTTTGACCTACTCAATAATTTTCGCCATTTCTGGCCCATCTTCCTTCTCATCCAAAAATATTTCGCTTCAAGAATCTTGAATGGCGATGCTCCTTTAAACAAACCTCTCGATTTTCGAAACTGACGATGCTGATTCGACCCGGTGCCGAAGCGTCTCGATTTTTGCCATAAAAACCAATGAAATATTCTGGGTTTCAAAAAAATGTGTGCAAACACGCCGACGCGAAATTGCACACGTTTTTTTTTTCGAAAAAATTGTTCGAAAATTCTCTGAATTGATATTTTATAAAATTTTATTGCGGAAAAAATGTATATAATTCGATTTTCCGGAGAAGAGCGTTTAGAAATTTTTCTTCGGACTATTATTTCGGACCCCCAATATTTTTTTTTGTGTGTGTGTGGTCTTGCATCGAATTATGATTGCACGAAATCTTCCCCCCCCCCTCAAATTCACAACCACAGAAAGAAAAAAAAACTGTTTATTGCGTGCGGAAGCTAGGAAATGCGACCGACGACAAAACGATATGAAGTGTGTCTTCGTCTCTTCCAATTTTTTCTTCTTCTGTCGTCCTAGGCTATGATGCTTGATGGTTTTGGCATGGGAAAAACACTCGTCGTCGTTGTTCCTACCCCGAACGCCAATTTTTCAAAAAATAGCCCACCGCCAATTTTTGTTTGATCGCGATTCGCCATCGAGCGCGATTGCTCACGTTGGCTTCTCATTGTTTTTCCACTTGAATCGTTTCTCAATGGAGCGCGTTTCCACTAAACCATTTAACACGTTGTTTTGTTGAAATCCCCTATTCTTCTAATTATTCTCAATAGAGCGCGTTTGCTCTAATCCGATTTTTTTCTTCATTACAATTTTTTTTTGTTTCGCCGTCACCAAAAAAAAACAACTCGAAACACCCGAATTTTTGGTAATGAAAAACCGGTTTCAATTCGAAATTCCGTTTGTTTTTCAGTTTACTCGACAATCTGATACACAATCAAATTGTGTGTTGTTGATTACGGTATGCTCCTTTAAGACGTGCTGTTCATTTATTGCTTTTTTTGGGGGTACACCTAGTCGTCAGTCGTCAATTGAACACCGATATCCCTTTTTTTGTTGTTTGGTAGCACGATGACGACTAGGCAGGAACGGACCGCATACCTTCTTCGCCTTCATCTTCTTCTCATCGTCTCTCTCTCTCTCTCTCAGCGCTTGTCGCCCATATATTTTTTTTTCGCGATTCCTGCTTATTCGCTGAAATCAATCACAGTTTGGAATTCAAGAATTTGACCTCCACTTGTCTCTCTCTCTCTCTCACTCGCAAATTAGCGGTTTGTTGTTTTCGCTGATCACTCTGATCATTCAATGTCCGCAATTTTGCGTCAATGTGTTGTTCACTCATTGCTCATTTGCTTTTTTTTTCGAGTTTTTCCACAAAAAATTTTTTTTTCGAGTTTTTCCAAAAAAAAATTTTTTTCCAGTTTTTTCCACAAAAATGTTGCTTTCCTGCAAAATATTTCGCTGCGAGACCATTATGGTGCACGCGCGTGCGAACCGCAACGCGTCACGTCAACCCCATTTGGACCCATAGAAGCTTCGTGGTGTCGCTCGCGTGAATGTTTGAGTGGTCCCACCGATGGCATCTAATTTCTAGTGATTTGAAAAAATCGAAATAAAAAAGGCATTTCATCTTTTTTTTTGCGAATTTTTCAGAAAATCGAAGTCTAAAAAATTGAATAAAAACACAATTTTTTAGAAAAAAATTTTTTCCCGTCTTAACAAATCTCGCATGAATATAATATGGTAGCAAATTGGTCTCAAAAACTCAATTAGAAAAATTGTGGTCGTCGTCGTCATCATCAACCCCCCCCCCCTACACTATCATTAATCGCGGAAGTTGGTGTTTGTTTCTGTGAGCGTGTGTGTCTGACGACGTCGTCAAGATCAATTTCGATACCGCCGGACGGCGCGGGGGAGGCGGCTCGTCGAATTGTGGAATGCGTGCGTCAACTTGTTGATTGCCAAATGCGTCCAATTAGCGATGATGACCCCCCCGAGGTCCTCTGAAAAATGCTACCCCCCCTCCCTTCTTAATTTGATTGATGACCATCACGATGTTTGATTCCGTGCAATTTGGGTCATGATATGATTTTGTTGGCGTCGAAAAAAAACAGCCCAAATTGCATACCAAACCCAATTTTTTATTGTTTCAATTTTTACATTTTTTCGCGGCGACCTTGACGAGATAGCGATCTCGAAGCGATCTTGAAGAAGCGACCTGAAACTATTCCCTCTCTCTCTCTCTCTTGTCGACATTGACTGTCATTGACGATAGCCATCTCTGCACTACCTATCGGCATTCTTAAGAAACTGTTTACAAATATTAGAATCGTCAAAAAAATAAATAAAAAAGCGAGTGGGCCATCGCACTTTTTTTTTCTTCGTCGAGCCGGTTATTCAAATTTGAATTTTTTCAATTGCCCTCCGGATAGCCGGCGAATCAAACTGCTCTCTATCACGGTAAAATTGATGGTCCGTTGAATAATCAGGGTTGCTTTTTTTGGATATTTCCAAGAAACATTTCATTATAATCACCTGCGGACTTATTTTTTTTTTCGCGGTGCGCCATAATCGCCGTGGCGGCAATTCAAACACGAGAGGTCCAGGGCTCAGAAGTGGGTTACCTGGGGACCATCAAACTGATTTTTTGGAGATTTAAAGGGAAAACGATTTTATCTAGGGACCATCTGGTCAAAAAAGGCTTTTTTTTTTTGAGTGATGTTCTCGACGAATCTCAAGGCCATAAAAATTTGCACCATTTTTTTTTCTTTTTCTCTCCACCCTCTCTCTCTCTGAGCCTTACCTATCCCCAAATTTGGCGAACACAAGATTGTATCGGTATATTGAAGATCGAATTCCACTGGGTCTTTCCTTCTTTTTTTGTTCCGACCCCCCTCCCCTTCCTTCTCAAATTTTCGTCGAGTTGTTGTTGTTGGTTTTTTTTTCGATTTCCATCTGGTCCCACAGCGTCAAAACCGGGTTCTTATGAGCGTCTCAAAAATTCGAGCCAACTTTTGAGACGCTCCAGAATCACATCAAAACCTCCCACATCGTTTTTTCGCTCCCTCTCTCCTCCCAATGGTCCCTATTTTAGAATTCTTACCTTGAGTCTCTCCCGCTGGAATTTGTGCCATATTTCAAAAGAAGAAATTTTTGTATGGTCCACAGATTTCGATCACTTCGAAATTGAGAGACCATCTCAAACTGAAAACCGTAAAATTGTCGGCAGCACGAAATAATAATTATTTGAAATTAGGAAGAGATGAGTTGGTGTCAATTTTTCGATTTGTAGAGCTCAAAAATTTGGCGTTGAACCAAAAAACCGAAATTTTGCAATTCAAATAGGCACAACGCAACTAATGGATGGTTTGATGCCTGCCGAAAAAGGTCAAAAAACGTGCGCGGTTGCAAGAATCGTTTGAAAATCGAAGATGGTTGGATGGAGGGGGGGGGGCGCAAAAAGTTAATATTTGTTTTATAAATATTAAAGGGTCGAATAATTTGTAGCTATTCTCAGAGCCCCAAACGCGCACACAATCGTCTATTGACACACATCGAATTCCAGTTTTTTGCCAAACTTCAACTTATTTACTGTTTCGTTTATTTATTTGGAACTCACCCGCCTAACCCATCGTTTCTCTTATTGGCCCACACACACATTTTGAAAAAAAAAATTGAATCAAGGCTTTTGTTATTATTCCATATTTGGACCTTCCCTTCCCTTTCCGCATTCCATCTTATGTGTTATCATTCACTTATTTATTTATTTGTTTGTTTATTGACATTTTTTGCGCGCCCCAATTCAAATAGACTATATATCAAGTTTACTTTTCGAAACCTTATGGTGTGGGCGTGTCTCTCATTCCGATCATTTTTTTTTTGGCGACGACGGAAACCATTATATATATATATATACAAAATGAGCCGCCATCCGCCAACTCCTCATTTCACACTCATTATTAATTGTTTAATTAATTAATTAATGTTGAGCGGTTCGATTTTCAGACGATCGACAGCGATGCTTGGAGGCAATCCGAGGCCGTCGAACTACGAAAATGGCGAGCTGCCCAATTTCAATATGACGACGTTTGTGGTGAGTTGTGTATTCTGCAATATCGCGTCGATTTGTTTTTTTTTTTTTTTTTTTGATCTACCGGAATTGTCGAGAGGTTTCACCCGGTCGTGGCAGTGATTTTGTTTCGTTAGAATTTTCGCGAGATTTTTTTGGGGCTAAATTCAAATTCGACATAGAGAGCATTTTCAACGCGCAAATTTTGAAAATTCTTCCCATTTCGCAATGGAGCGCACTTTCAACGCGCAAAATTTGAAAATTCTTCCCATTTCGCAATGGAGCGCACTTTCAACTCGCAAATTTTGAAAATTCTTCCCATTTCGCAATGGAGCGCACTTTCAACGCGCAAAATTTGAAAATTCTTCCCATTTCGCAATGGAGCGCATTTGCTACGGCTTTCGAGTTCCTCAAATATTTTCGGTGCGACACTCGAAACTCCAATTTTCTTCCAATCGAATATTCAGCCCGAAATTTGCAATGGAGCGCGTTTTCAACAAATCTGGGAGCATCAATATTTTTGGCGCGAAATTGGCTTAAAATTTCTATGTAATAGAATTCATCCCCGTTTCGCAATAGAGCGCATTTGCAGCATTTCGAGTTTTCTCTTCAAACCTTTTTTTTGAAATGTTTTTTTTTTGAATGCCATTACCCCCCCCCCCCAAATTTGCCATGGCGCGCATTTTCCGAATTCCTTGAACAAAAAAAAACAGTCGAGATACTATTTGCGAAATGACGTTTGACCGAGTCGGCGAGCCCCGCGCGCAAACTGATCTATGTGCACCGGAAAATGACCTCGAGCCGACGGCATAAGCAAACAGTGATGGCGCGTCGAAAATGTCGAATTGTCGCTTATGATCTTTGGCGCATGCTCGCCATTGAAATGGGTGGCAAACGAAGGATAAGGCACGTCAAATTAGTGCCATTAAGACTAATGATGGTCATAGAATTCAACTAATTCGATTTCCTTTCGGTTTTTTTCTCGTTTTGAGAATCAAAAATCGGCCCCATTGGGTTTTTTAAAGGAGCAAGATTCAAAACAATAAAAACCAATAGCCAATATTCCAGATATTCATGATATTCGTTGTGCCGCTCATCGCCTACTTGATAATTTTGCCGGGCGTCCGAAAAAAGGTGATCATCACGTCGGCGGTCTACATCTACATGATGTTCGTCGGCGGTGTTCTCGCGTGCGTTCTGTATTTTCCGTGTTGGGCGTACGGCTCCCAAATGATCTACACACAATTTCGGTAGGCGGCCGAGTGGGGGGGGATTCGTTTTCGATTGTTCATCATCATCATCATCTCTTCAGGGCGCACTCAAACGAAAGAATTCTGGCGCAAATTGGGGTTGAAATTGGACTTCAGAAGGTCAACGTCACCCTGAAATGTAAAGCATTCGGTCCAATTTTCTAAAATACGGACCATTCTTTTTTTTCAGTTGAACGATTATTATACTCGGATGATATAATGCCGGGAATCGACATGACCAAATTGTATTATAATGAGGGATTCGACATTACTGGAGGTATTCGTTTTGGTGGTGTTGCAATAATCGCAAATTCAACTGTTTGCAGTCTCGTCAATGTCGGAGGCGTTGCACAACGCGCAGAAGCGCGGCCTTCCCTATCCGATGCTAAGCGTCTTGGAATATTTCTCGCTGAACCAGGACGCGTTCGATTGGGGACGGCATTATCGTGTTGCCGGGCACTATTCGCACGCGGCGATTTGGTAGGGATCTTGTGCGAATTTTCAGAGAGAGAGAGAGAAAAGGAAAAACCGTGAAATTGGTGAATTTGGAAAAAAAATAAATCAAATAGGCGTCAATTAAAATGTGATGTCCGCAGAGTTGAGGTCGGCGTGATTGCACCGAGTGTGTTTGCCCCGCACAAAATCGAATTGTTTCAGTTTTGCGCTCGCGTGTTGGGTGCTCTCGATGGTATTCCTTCTCGTTCTTCCGCACTACGTCTACCAGGTGATAATTAATTATTTCGCCAAATTCAAATCAAACCCGATTTTTGTTTTCTTGCAGTCGCTTCTCGCCACCGGCGTCTCATGTTTCGTCGCGTGTCTCCTCTACTTCATCATGTCGCCGTGCGAGCTTCGAATCGCGTTCACCGGCGAGAATCTCGAGCGCGTCGATCTCACCGCGACGTTCTCCGTCTGCTTCTATCTGACGCTGGCCAATAGTGAGCATCGGGCGTTTTTCGCCAAACCGCCACCTTTGTTTTTTTTCTCTATCAATTTTTTGTTGCTTCTCATCTGTTTGTTCTTTTTTTCAGCGATTATTTGCGTCGTCGGCGGCGCGCTATTGGGCGTTCTCAAACACTGGCGCATCTACACGCTGTCGACGTTCTTCGACGCCGCCCATGACGAGCATGTTGGGCCGAAGACGCGAGGCGTTCGCGACGACCTCATGCAGGGATGCCGTGTGATCTCGCAGCGGGTATTATTCGGAAAAAAATCGAACAATGAGAATAAATGAAACGAAAATTCGGTTTTCAGCATCATATTGTCGCGCCGCACACCAATATTTGTCATTCGGCGGATGGCAGCACCGATAAGACGAACTCGAGCGGATTCGAATCGAAGCCGACGTCGTGTCACATCTCGCAATCATCGGCTTCGTTAACGTAAGCAGCCATGCGCCTTTAAAATATATTACATTGGATTTATGTCAGGAGCGATTTTAGACGATTTTCGATTTATTTAATTGAAATTTAAAATCGCGTCATGCGTCTTTAATAACTCCTTATTTTTCTTCGTTCCAAGACCCTAGGAGCCTTTGTAAAATTTTAGGAGAAAAAAAAACACTTTCGAAACATTTATTCTATTCATTTTTTTAATCTTTCGCTATCAGCTCTATTTCGAATTTTCCCGTCAAGACCCATTATGGTCACATTATTCGAAACACAATGATTTCCATTCAAGACCCAATCGATTGCGATGATTTTCGAATATTTAAAGAATTTCGGAATCAAAAAAACCAAAGCAATACTAATATTTTGCAGAAGTCAAGCATCATTCGAAACCGTACGCGATGAGGAGGAGCTGGAGAACCGGACGAACCGATTCACCGAACAGTCGACATCCTCCACATAGCGAAAATGATGGGAATTTCGATGGAAATTGAACACTTTGCTTTTCTCTTCTAGAAGGATTTTATTTTATTTTTTTATTTTATTAGTGATGTTTTTTTTTTCGACGAACCCGGTGACCCACAGTATTTCATTTCTTTTTTTTTCGCAGCCATGTGCTCAACAAAATTTCGCGCAGAAAAAAAATCCGAACGACACATTTTGTAAATATTTTGTGCCATTTTTCACTCACCAACCACCCACACTCCCCAAAATGCGCACCATTTCACACCAAGAGTTTTACTGAACGTTTTCTTGATTACTGGTACCCAACTTCACCCCGAGCCCCCCCTCCATCGAATAATCATTTTTGTTTCTCTTGTAAACCCACAAAAGGAAAATTTTACGAATTCCGCGACGGGTTTTGAATAGATTAGGATTTTTGTTGCTTCTTCTTTTTTTTTTTAATTTTAGGTTTTCCGGCCCCACCCGTGACTTGTTTCGATTAGCTGCCATTTTCTTTTTCATGTTTCAATTTTTGCTCGCCCTGCCCCCCCCCTTTCTTCACCAATTTCTTTATTTTATTCTCAAGTTTAGTTGCCTTCAATGTCAATGGTTTTTTGATACGGGTTTCCCTTGGCTTTTTCATAAATAAATGAATGATGATTTTTTTCGATGGTTTTGGGTACGGTAAGTGGCGATGGTACGCAAACACCGATGGCGCAATATTGCATACTTTGGTTTCGAAATATTTTTTATCAATTTCTTAATTTTTTTTTTCATTTTCCGAAAATTTCTATTTGTTCTATTTGCATTTTGTGCATAATTTGCGAAAATATTAGCGATTTATGCAAAATGAATCTTAGTTTTTCCATTTTCTCTTTTTTTTCCAAATGACACATTTTCTGGAAATTGTTTTTTAAGGAGTTGAAACAGAATCAAATTTTGCAATTCGAATTGAAAAAAAAATCAAATTGGCAAATGGAGATTTTGAAATAATGTTTATAGACAAATATCATCCAATATATTCCTATAGGTTATTTTTCAAAAATCGATGTTTTTTTTTCTCGTGGCTAAATTAAACCAAATTTGATATTTTTCAGGTCTCGTCATGCGAACGCCTCATATGATAACCATAATCAGAGTTCGAATTTGGCGCCGCCCGTCTCGCCAAAGTTCACACACTCTCACGCACTAGTGCACCGGGTTGGACGTCGCGCGCACTCCGCGATTCGTGCGCACTCTCGCCGCACGCTCGTCTGCGTCTCTCCACTCTCCGTGCTCTCATGCCAACCAGCTGCCATTGCCTTTGCATGTGAAGCGTTTTTCTTCACACCAAATTTTTTTTTGTGACCGACAGCCTTCGTCGATTTTCTTCTCGTCTTTCAGTGTTTTTTTTTTGTTCATACTTTTTCCAACTGTTTTGTGATACGACGATTGATAGCGACGGAATTGAGACAAAACATCGATTTTTCGAGCTTTTCAGACGAAATTTTCAGTTGTGAAATTTTTCGAGTTTCGCGTCAGAAATCCAACTAGAAAATTGCCGAAATACCCGATTTTTTGAATGAAATAAAAAAATTTGATTTAAATTCAAAGTTTTAACTTAAAATTATATTGAGATTCAATTCTGAACGATTCTTGTTAAGAAATTAATTTTTTGCACAGCGTTTTGAATTTTCTTTCATAATTCTTTGTGAGACCCATCTCGAGAAAATTAATTTGACGTCTATATTATCCTATTTTCGAAATAAACGTCAAAATCATTGTCACGTTATCTAATCAGCTGGAAATTTTCTTCAAATGCCGTTGATTTTTGGCCAATTTTCACTAAATGTTGAAATTTTTAACAAAATTTAATTGTCTAGGTCTCAAGGGCTCGATTTTTTCCGATTTCTAGCGTCAAACAATTTCTATTTTTGGAGATTCATCAAAAAATCAATATTATGGCGCAATTCGGAATAATTTCTCTTAAGAAAATGCTTAATTCTGCAATTTTTTGCGAAAATTCGCCGCCGAATTCGGCCAATTAGCCGCAAATTTCGTGTTAACGCGAAAAACGGTGCTAAATTGAGTAATTTGTCACGCCAATTTGGGCCAAAATTCGAAAAACGAAGTGATTTTCGAGTAACCGGTTTTTATTCAAGGTTTTCTTTTTCAAAAATTAGCTTAGATTTTATGAAAAAGCGACGAAAATCTAAAAAGATGCGTTCCTTTTTAATTTTTTTTGTCGGATTTTTTAAAGCAATATTTGGAGCCAAATTTTAAAGCAATTAGAAAATTTGATAAATTTTCCCTTCAGCTCATTTTTATTTGAAATTCGTAATCAAACATCATTTCGTGTTTGAGTCTACATATGTTTTGATATCGGATTAATAAGCAAAGATTAATCGAAACATTCGACGTCGGCTCGGGTTTCTGCGAATTTTTTGTCAATTTTTGAGTCATGCGCCTTTAATAGAAACCTTCTTATTTTTTCCAAGACCCTAGGAGGCTTTATAAAATTTCTGGAGAAACAAATCTAGAAAAAAAATTTTTGGAGGTTTTTCGCTTTCCATGCACCATCGAATCAAATCTACATATTTTCTCGCCAAGACGCTTTGTTCGAAACACCTTGATGCGATAATTTCCATTCGAGACCCAATCAATCTATTGTGGAGCGACTGCGGAAAATTGACAAAAAGCCACAAAAAAAACCAATGAGAGTGGTTTTTTTGCTGACATTTTGCCAATATTCCATAATCGCGCGGCATCGACTATCAGGGTCTCGAATGGAAAACAAAAGCTTGTGTGATTTCGATGATAATAATTGTGTTTCAACTTGCTCGCCAGCCTCGCTGCGTCTCCTCACCGAGCCCACTTCGTCGCCGATCTTGTTTGATCAGCGCAAAAGTACATTGTGTTCATCTGCGCATTGTCGATTCTCAAACTCTTCCAATTATCAACACTAACTAAAAATACTCGCGTTTCGTTTTTTTTTGTTCGCCTTTTTGAAATACAACTATTCTCGTGTTTGCGAACAAACTGATAAGACGTGAAAAAATCGCACCGTTTTTTTTTTGTTCGTTTTAATTTGATGGGAAAATCGCGCCCGCGCGCGCGCCTGCGATTTTTATGAGATTCCGCCCCTTTTTCGTTTTGGCTTTGATCCGATGTCGATTTCCATTTTTGGCGAAATGTTGTTCGGTTATAGAATGGCGGACGAAGGCGGGGCAGCGACGACGACGCGCATCCGCAAGCAACCCCGACCTGAAATACAACTATACCGCCCTGGTGAGTCTTGATCATTTTTTTTTGGGAAATTCCAAAATTGCTTTCAAATTCTTGAATCTCGCCGAAATTTTGGTTTTTAAAGCAAAAAATTGCAGTAAAATTGAAATTTTGCGTATTCCACCGCTCAAAAAATATGCTTGAAACTCTGAAAATTGGCATTTTCTCGTATAAATGGCTTTATAATTGAAATTCCACTAGCAGAATATTTCGAATTTCGATTTTTAATCGTATTTAACGCGAAAAGTTATGGGCGATTGGAATAAAATTGGAAAAAAAATAATCGTTTTAGCTTAAAATTGTATTGAGAATTTAATTTTCCCAAAAAAATTCGTCATTTTCTGGTTATAAAAAATAGTTTTAATCGAAAAAACTTTAAAAATTGAACATTTCTAATTGGGATTCCAATTTCTTGGAAAAATAATGGAATTTTATTAAAATTTCAAAAATTTTTTGTCGAAATTTGGAAAAATATTGACAAATGTGAACGGAAACCGCAAAATGGCCAATTTTTGTGTGGGGGGAATAAAACCAGCCGACCCACTTGAAGTTTTTTGGATCATGTGAGATCGGTTTCGATTTTTTTCCGCCCTCTACCCCTACTGTACAAAATTTACACTGCGGCGGATCGCTGACAACCATCAGTTTGTATTGTTCTTCACCGAACACACTTGATTCATTTATTTGTGTTCAATTTGGATTTTGTCTGCACAATTGAATTTTGAAAAAATTTTTATTTCGTTTTTTATTGTTGCGATTTTCTTTGGATTTTGAATAGAAAAATTGAGATTGTCTAAAAATTTGAAAATTTAAAAATATTGAATTTGAAAAAAATTGTGCCAGCAATTCTTGATTTATTTGATGAACTGAAACGTTTATTAGAGATTTTGGACGAAATGAGTATCTTTTTTCAATTTTGATGCTAAAAATGAGAATTTCTTGTTTTTTTTTAAACCAAAAGCTCATATAGTCAGTTTTTCGATGATGAAAGCAGCTAATCAAGTTCATTTTTCATTTATTTTTTGTGAAAAATCTTTGAAAATTGAAAATTTTACACAAAAGCGTCTGAAATCAATGAATTCAAGACGATCTAAAGGATTGAAAATTGCATTTTTTGGATTCGATCGGTTAATTAAATGAAATGGGTCTCGCAGCGCATTTCTTCCGAACCAAATTATGGGTGATAAAATTGCATTCCCAGGCTTGACGAACTTTATAAGAAGGCCTTGAAATTGACGAATTCGGAGAGAAGAGGAGGGGGGGGGGTTCCCATCAAAATCGACACCCAATAAATCACCATTTAAGGGATGCTTCGAAAAGGGGACAGCACGAAAAGTCTGGCGAACGATGAGCGACCACCGAGACCAGGTATCTCAATCATTGTGATGAATGGTCCATCGCTTTAATGATATGCATTGAAGAGAAAATCGAAACGAGTCCGTCGACGACGACGACGGCGGCGAATCGCCGCCGCAGCAGCAACGACGCGGATGGTGTGAGGTCGCGCGGCGGCTCCGGCAGCACGACGCCGGACGCGAACGTCATGAACGACAAGTACACGCGATTCGGTGCGAATAGTCGACAACCCGAATCGTCATATGTAAGCGAGTTGGTCTTGAAACGCGTCCTACCGTAATCCTAATGGCGTTTGAGTTGGGATAGAGTGGTTTTTGAAAGTTGACACACATTAAATTAGTGTTACCGTAATTGTGAACAGTTGATACAAGTAGAATCAAGATTATATTTGAATAATTGCGAGGAATCGAAAATGTTGATTTTTTTGAGTTTGAATGAATGCCTACAGAAATTCCAGAATATTACGAGATTTTTTTTTAATCGCGAATGTCACGTTTCCCCTCATTTCTATCAATTTTCTTCTATGATTTGGAGAAATTTTTGCAAAAAAATGCTATTTATTTTTAGAATTCGACGAAATCGTTGTATGATAGCCGAAAACCCGGCGGCTACACGGAATACAACGGACGAAATCATCAAAGGAACAATCGGCTTCCGTTTGAGAGGTCCAATGTGAGTTTTGAGGCGATTTAAAGGCGCGTCATGTTTAGAACGGACAAATTTGCCAAAAAAAATTGAAATTTTTGAATTGCGCGGGTTGCCAATTAATTGGACACTTTAAAGAAATTAATTACCAACATTCTTAAAATTAAATTGCAATCCAAGGCTATATCATTTATTTTTAATTATTTTATTTTCAATCGAATTTTCAGAATCGCAATTCGTCAAGTTCGTACAATGAGCGAGCGTCGATGCGAGGCGACGTGGCGATGACGAGACGCAACGTCGTCGGCGGCGGACGGCGACGGAATGATTCGATGAACAGCACGCAGAGCGAAATGCCGCAGACGACGGCCAAAGTTAGCGAGTTTTGAGACGGTGTTGAGCTTGAATTTTTGTGAAATGAAATAATTGTCAAATTTCGTTGGGAATTGTTGATTTTAGTAGACGAAATGTCGAAAATTCTAATCAATTTTTTGCGCAGGCGGATCCGCTTCATATCGACACATCGTACGATTCGAAATCGCAATGCGGCGCCTCGTCGGCGTTCTCGATGAACTCGCTGGGCGAGGCGATGTCGTTCGAGGAGATGTGCCAATCATTGCAATCATTCTCGTCGATGGATTGGAGCAAAGAAGTCGAAAACGAGATCGCCGAGCGTTTGGAGCGCGAAGAAGAGGAGAAGCGGCTACACGAGTCGCTGATGCACGAAGCCGATGAGCGAAAGCGCAAGGATGAGACGCGAGCGGCGCAGTCGACGCGCGCCGCCGTCGCACGTCATCGCGGCGGATTGCAGGAGACCAACGGCGCCCATCGTGGACGATATCGAAGGAATTGTGAGCGTTTGACTATAAATTTTATCTGAAAATTTGATTTTTTTTTTAAACAAAAATCTTACCTAGAGAAATTGAAAATTTCCGATTATTAACGATGTTTTTGATCGCTTCAACATAACATTTTTTGTTCAGACGATAGCGATCGAGAATCGTCGTTTGGCGGAAGTATTGCCGAAGAGGAGGACGATAATGATGAATTGCCGAGCGGCGAACGAACGCCGACGTCGGTGCGCAGCGGATATCGTAAGAGTTTTGATGTTTATTGAAAAATTGGCGATTTGCCAAAAAAAAGAAAAGAAAAAAGAGGTCTTGTGGCGAATGTGTCGATTTTCGACAAGGTTTAAAGGCGCAGCCCATCGCGTCAAGACCTTCCCCGTTAAACTTCATCTTCTTATTAGACAACTTTTGATATTAAATGTCGACTATTGAAATCCGTGGTCTTGAATTTAGAATTTAAAGGTGCATGATTTAGAATATAACGGAAGAGCGTCATCGCGAAATAATGAGAACGGTTATCGACGAAATAATCGGCCGGGTCGAGATGAATATTATGATAATGATTATAGTAAGCTTTTTTTTTTTGGTTTGAAGGAAATTCTGCATTTGAATGCCAATAAATTAATGAGGCAAATGCGCTCTATTGAACTCGACTTTTATTTTTCGTTTTTTTTTTCTCAGACCGCTCGACGAAAAATGCGACGGGACGACGCGAGAAACCCGAACGACGGTTGGAATTTTAGATTATTTTTTTTTTGAATCGCTTGAAAATTGTTTTCGTTTTGCAGATATCGCGGCGAGCATGATGATCGCGATGATGAAACGACGGAATATGATTCATTATCATCGCATATGACGTCGGGACGATTGGCTGGACGAATTTCGATAGTGAAACGCGCGATACCGGGAGATGTGCACGCGGAAAGTAGGAGAATTTGAATTAATTTTGTGTGATTTTGAGGCAAGCCAAAAATTTTCGAGAAACTGGATTTTTAAAAATTCAAAATCGCCCATTTTTGATGAGATTTTCAATTTTTCACCAAAAATTTTGATTTTTTTTTAATGTGAAATTTTAGGGACATCGCCGCGTCGCGATTATCGTCAATCGGAAGAGTCTCAACGCGAAAATGCGAATCCGAAATTCAGGTGAAATCGATTTTGCGCGAAAATCTCCCCCCTGAAACATTTTCCTGCCAACGTTTACCTCTTCTACACGGCATTTCTCTAACCGCTTTCAACAATTAATTTAATTAATCAATTAATTATCGCTAATTATATATGTCTGTTTTTTTTTCTTCTTATGTTGGGCTTCTCCGTTTCGTCTTGCCAGCGGTCGCGGCCAAAAAAAAACCGCGACGCGACCGCAACGCGTCCGTATGTCGAAATTGCTTTATTTTGCCGCCCAAAATCCACAAAAAATGTGATGTTTGCTGTTTTTTTGTGTGTGTGTGTGTTGACGCGCTCGCGAATCTCAAAAATTATGTATATTCGAATTGCCGCCCACAAATTTTTTGTTGGGTCTCGAGACTACAAGTATTACTGTCTAGGGCTACGCCCACTTTTCGTTTCTTGTTTTTTTTCCATGTGAATTTTCTCAGTTTGTTCCCCAAACTACTGATGATTAACTTGACTAACTTATATGTAATATAGTTAACATTTGCTGTTATTTTTTTTGTTCTTTTTTTTTTCTATAATATATGTATTAATAAATTGGTGGTTTCGGGTTATGCTTTTCGATTTTTTCGCCGTTGCTCACCGAGTTTCTTTTGACCTACCTTAACCAAGCTTTATCCCCCCTGATTTGGGCTTATTTCTTGATTTTGTTTTTAGCGAGGAGTCGATGCTCAGAAGACGAGATGAACCGGTGCGATCGTCTCCTCCGCCGCCTCCAGCTTCTACTTCTTCTTCGACATCGAACGATGAGGTTCGAATCAATGAGGTCCGTGATGCCCATTGATTGTTTTGAACATTTTTTTGCAGATTGCCGAGAAAATTGCGAAATTGGCACCATTGGTGGCGAAAAAGCGCGATGTTGAAGCGGCGAAGAAGGTTGTTCAGCTCAGGTGGGTCGCTAGCTGGGTTTTCGCGAAAAATTGCGTTCGAATGGCACATTTTGAGTTTTCTTGCCCTTTTTGAAAAGAAACATCGGGGGTTTTGAGATCGAAATGGATCTGCGACGCAGAACATTTGCGGGAAGCAAAAAAATTCAAATTTCAATATATCTCAACTGCGGACAATTTTCGAGCAATTCACGTAGTTTCAATTTGCATCGAAACTCGATGTAGACAACCTTAAATGGCTATCGAGTTTTTGTCTGCGCACACGCGGACGCAATTTCGCACACATTTCATTTTAGTTCGTTTGAAAAAAATCATTTTTTTCAATGAAACACGCGATTTTACGCAAACTATAAAATAACACATCATTTCAATCGAATTAAATTATCGTTTTTGACTGATTAAAGCAATTATCATCTGCGGACAATTTTTTGGGTTTTTTTTTCATCGAATCATCGCAAAAAGAATATGGGATTAATTTTTAGTGAGAAAATTGCCCAAAAAATACAATTTTCGACCTGCACTTTTGAATTTTCTGCTCAATAGAGTTTTCTCGGCGTAAATTAATAGAAATCCATCTGCCGACATCCCCTGCCCCCTCCTCCTCGAATTGTCCGCAGATTCCATAATCTGTTTTTTTTTTCAGCGCCGACATGTCGAAATATTACTACGATCAAATATTTGTCGACATTTTCGGCACATTCTCGTCGAGTTTGGAGCAGCAATTGTTCAGAAACGCGTTTTATAAGGTAAAAATTGAGACAAATTCGCGATTTTTTGGTGAAATTATCAAAAAATTCAAATTTTACAATGTGAATTTCGTAAAGAACTCAAAAATAAACCCTAACAATCGATATTTGTAGATTTCCGGAAAAAAATTGAAAAAAAAAACCTCGGACCATGTCCAGATTTTGCGAAACCTACAGTACCACGGTTATTTTTATTAAATCGCTGCAAGAATCATCATGTATATTTATCATATGCGCCTTTAACCGTAAAAAAAGAAGTTTGCACTTAAAAAATCAAACCAAAAATATTGGGACAGTTCAAGGCGCATAGGATTCATGAGTCTTGCAGCGATTTAATAATTTAATTAAAGCTGTGGTTCTGTAGCCTTCGAAAAAACAATCTGCAAATACCATACTTGCAACAGGGCGGGACAAGGTGAAAGTTTTAACTCGCCGCTTTCCCCTCGAAATTCTTATTACGTTAAACAAATGCCTCGCTGTAAACGTGGAGTGTCGTTGCGGGTCGGCGGGGCGTTTCTCGTATTTTTCTTACTGACCCGCCCCGCGCCGACCCGGAAATTTGCAAGTATGGCAAATACCGATTTTTAGGGTTCATTTTTGAGTTATTGGCGAAATTTTCATCATACCCAAAGTCCTAGGGATTTTGCGAAATTTTCAGCCAATTGAATCGCTGAGAAGCGGCTCGAACTCGGCGTCGCCGAATGCGAAACTCATTCGCGCCTCGTTTCAACGATTATTGCTCAATGTAAGTCTCGAGCACATCTCGACAAAATGCTACAGTAATCCGATTGAAGGGTATCGATTTCTACGAGACTCTCATCAACGATTATCAAGTGCGATTCAAAATCGATTTGGAATCGACGCTGATTTGGCCGAACGGATTTCCGAGCGATGAGCAGCTCAATGAGCATTTTGTTGATCTACCCGCTGGCTCGTTGAAGTACTCGACGACGAATCAGAAGGTTTAGAATTTTTGTTGCGGAAAAAAAAAGAATTTTAACATAAAAATGGATTGACATGATTTTTTTGAATGAAAATGAAAAAAAAAAACACTTAAAGAAAGGTCTTGTCACGATTTTTTTTTAAATTTGAAGAATATTGATTAAAGGCGCATCATGTCGAGATTTACAGATCGCAATAAAATCGCTTTCGCGCCATTTGGTGTCACTTGGTGATCTCCATCGCTACAAGACGCTTGTCGATGGCTGCGAAGACTATTCGACGTCACAAAAGTACCGTAGACCTACAGAAATCCGGAAACTGATATTTCTTGCAGATTCTACTTGAGAGCCTCCCAATTGTGGCCGACGTCGGGTCACACGTACAATCAATTGGGCGTTGTTGCTTATTATTCGGTAGGCTTTTTTCATTTCTCGGCTGATTTTTGCCTTTAGCTCTTATTACGTTGTTTTTTATTTTTTGGGAGAAGAAGCATGCTTATTTTATTCATTCACTATTGCGTCCTTCTTTTTGAGACCCATTTCGCTCCTAATTGGGTCTCGAAGGGAATTTCATTAAAATTCGCTTAAAAAAAGAACATAATTGACGATTAGAGTTTGCAGACGTTTTAAAGGCGGCATGAAGGGGGGGAATCATCGAGTCATCGCGTTTTCCCTTCGAGACCCGACATCACGATGTTGTTGTCGTATTTGTTGTTGTTGTCGTCGTTGTTGTTGTTGTTGATTTTCGTTATGTTCCCCGAGATTCTTTGAGTTCTTCTACCCCGTGACGGCTAGGTTCAAACTTGAAATTGGAAGATGTTTAAAGGCGCAACGGGGGGTTGGGTCTTGAAGGGAGAAGAAAGACAACGTCAAAAGTGCGCAAACAAGCGGTTCAAAAAATTGAAAATGCGAGAAAATGCGCCTTTAAAATTGTCCAATCCAAAAAACAAACCATAAATATAGTCGATTGTGATTTGTAGATGCTGTACAGAAGCGCGAGACGCGCTCGCCTCATTCCCGTTGACGTGTTGTCGAGGCAGAGACAGGTGAATATTGTGTCACACGCATTTATTTATTTATTTTTTTCGTTTCGAGACCCTATTTTCCTCTTTTTTTTTTAAATTACTAACATCCGTTTTTTTTTGTCTTGTTTCGTAGTCTTCTCCTATTTTTTTTTTGGTTTAAACAACGGGAACGGCTCTAACGTTTGCATGTCGTCGCTTTCGCTTTGTGTGTGTGTGGTCCTGCGGCGAATTGCTCCTGGAAATTGTTCAATCAAAAATTTTATTCGATTTTCAGTCGCGTGTAATCGATGAGATATTCTACCTGGTTCGCGCGCTTTCGTGCAATTATCCGTATTTGGCGGCGAAAGATCGATTGGCGCAAAGGATTGACGCAATGCGAGCCAAGGTGCGTTTGGGGGGAATTGATTGGGCAAAAAAAAATTGGAAAATGTTTTGCGCTCTTGAATTTGATTGAAAATTGAAAGTTTTCAGATGAGTTATGGGAAAAATTGAAGGACTTTGTTTAAAATCGCGTTTATTAAAAGTTGAGACTATCAAATTTGTTAAGAAATACTTAGAATAACCAAAAAAATTTCAGTTTTCGAGTTTTTCACGAAACACGTTCAGTTTTTTTAATTTTATTTACGAAAAATTAGGAAAATCTCAATGGTTTTACGACATTTGCGTTACTGTAGTTGCATCGTGTCGAGACAACTTTACAAAAACTGTGTGTGCCTTTAAGTTACTGTACAATGTTTTTTTTTCAAGACTTTAATTTTTCTTAAAATAGCCATTTTTTCATTGCTACTTGAAATGTTTGCTTAAAATAATTTCAAAAGACTTTTTTTTCGTAATTTTTTTTTTCAAAAATCGAAATTGCTAGTATTGTCATTTGAATGTTATTCGTTAAAACATTACATTTTGTTTTTATGTACTTTTAAAAATTAAAAAAAATATATATAAATCTGAGACGAAAGTTTTTTTTGTGTGTGTGTGCGTGATTTGCATCGTGACGAATTTCAGGTGTCGAAATACGAGCCGCTACTCGATTCGGAATGCGGAAAACTTCGCGACGAGATGAGAATGATGTCGAAAGTGGAGCGCGCGCGAGAAGTGTGGATCGATTTGGCAACGGGAAAAGCCATCGATGACGCCGGCGAGACGATTGTCGACGACATTCTGGCGCATTTCATCGAGCAGTCGGCCAGCAAGGTTCATAACCGAAAATCGAAAACACATTGAAACAATCGAATTTCTCTGTTTTCTTTTTGCAGCTTCATCGTCGAGCTGTCAGCTATCTGATCGACGCGTTCGGAATGTTGGTTAATAAAATTGGAATGGAGCATTTTTCGAGGTATGCTTCTCTGTTGCAATTTTTTTTAATCAATTTTCTGAACTTCCAGCGTCTCTGAACGAGCTTTCGCCCTATTGCTCGCCTCGTTGTCGAAGCCTTACTCGGACTTCTCGTCTCGACAACTCGTCCAGCTCACCGCCATGTTCATCTACGCTGTACACAGCGCGGCGAAGAAGGAGATGAACTCGCCGCAGCATCACACCGCCGTTTCGGCGCTCTTCACGCTTCTCGCCGTTCTTTTGAAGGTGTTCACCGAGGAGAAGTGCGAAGTTGGTTGTGATCATGAGCTCGCGCTCACTGAGAAGGTAGTCCAACTTCGATTGTCATCGTTCTAATTCGACACTTTAGGCTCTCATCGTGCTACCGTCGATCAATCTGATATCGACGGCTGTGCGAAAATCTGATGCACTTCAGCCAAACGCGATTGAGCTATTGCCATCGAGCATCGTCACGTTGAGCATGACCGCCATCGTACGCCGACTGGAGCAACAGTTCGAGGTGATCGCGTCGTGCTCGCCGCAGGAAGCTGGACTAGCTTTTCCGGAAAATGTGTTCCTTGCGTCGTTTTGCGGCATCTTCGACGGATATCCGACGAAAGCGGATGTGTTGGAGGGACGGAATGAGGTAAGTATGAGGAGAAGCCTATGGGGGATGAATAGATGAGATTTTCAGAGTGAGCAGACGAATCGAAGTCGAATCTTCAACGTTCTGAAAGCGATGGAAATGATTCGCGATCGCATACCGACGGACTCATCGAATGATTCGGGCATTTCGACGGAGAAGGAGGAGAAGCCGATTGGGCGCGATGAGCTGCTCGAGCTTGAGAAGCGCAAAAATCGATTCGTTCTCGTCGTTCAACCCGAGAATCTCGTCGTCGACACGAACGTCTTCATCGATCATTTGGACATTGTGAAGCGAATTGTTGAGAAAAAGCACCACAAAATAGTGGTCCCGACAATGGGTAGGTCGTCGAGATTGCAATCGTTGACGCTTCTCGTCAGTTCTTTTCGTCTCTTTTGCGCCGAAACCCGATTTCATGATTTGGTTTTCCAGTTTTGACCGAATTGGTCGGTTTGTCGCTTCCGTCGGTGTCTGGACGAGATAATCTGATCGATGTGAGCGGCGGCGAACAGGAGGAATACGTTCGCGCGAATGCGAAAGTCGCTGTCGCGTGGCTCAAGGTTTTTTGTTTGACATTTTCGATGGAAAAAATCTTGACGTCGGTTTTTGTTAGGAGCGATCTCGAACCAAATGTCCGCAGATGGCGACGTTGACGACACAAGGCAAGAAGATCGCGTTCCTCGTCGCCACTGAAGATAATACTAACCATAAGAAGGAGCGAAAGGTGAGCGATGTTGTTCGTCGAATTTGGCATCGATTTGAACAAATTAGTTGCGATTTTTTGTCAAAACTCACATGACAGTGAAGAAATTGATATGGGGTTTTTTTTTCAAAGAAGGTGACCGAAAATTAAGTTTTGTGCCATTTTTTAATGATGAATTGAAATTGAAGTTTGAAATTTGTGTAAAAGCGCAAATTTGACCATAATTATGATAGTTCCAGCAAAAATTGTATTAAAACATATTTATGGAAAGAAAACTCAGAAACGTCATAGAAAAATCTGGGATTTTTAGATTAGAAATTTTTTAAAGCCGGATTTTTGCGAGTCACCACAAAATATTAAAGATGAAATTGAGAAATTCTCCTTTTTCGGAAAACTTGGAAAAAAAAAGCAAAATTTGCGTTTTTCTTTTGAAAAAAAAAAGAGTCATTTTGTGCAGGTGAACGATGATCTGATTCTGGAGAGTTGTCTGAATCTGATCGCGAACGCGGTTGCGTCGCCGTCGCCGTCGATACCGTCGAGTGTCGCCGAATCGCACGAGAACGTGATCCATCGAAACGTGGTGCTGCTCACCGAGGATCGCGGACTCTCGATCAAAGCGATGTGCCAACGCGTGCCGTGTCGACACATTCAACAGTTTTCGAGTCTCGCATCGATTTGATACTAATTGTTGTTGTTGTTGAGTTTGTTTCTTGTCCATATATGTCTGCATTTATGCCCTTCTTGTTATAATACCTCGTTTATTCGATAAAAATCGCCACAGTTTAATCGGCAAATTCAATCTGCCTCATCGTCGGCGGCCGCCTCTTCACTCTCTCTCTCTCCTCTCTCTCTATATATTTTTCTATTTCTCGTCTGGTACGCAACACGCATTGCACCGAGTGCATCGAATTTGACGAGCACACGATTTTTTGAATAAATTATTCGGCTTCGCTCGGAATCGTTTTTTCATTGTTTTTGATTACAGTTGATTATTTTTTTTTGCAACAATTGGTTTTTCTTTTCTCATTTTTTCTAACGCAATTTTTAGGCGATGCGAACCAGAATTGGGATATTTTTGCTGATTGCCGCATTGTGTTGCGTCGCTTTCGCCGACAGTGAGATGGGGGTAAGGGTTTTGTGGATTTAATTGAAATTGTCTGGAATTTTGCCTTCAAAAATTATTTGGACTCGATTTTTCTTTCACATAAAAACGTTATCATCGCGATTGCTGGCCACACGCTTGGAAGAAAAATCGTGAAAGGCTCTCTAGCTATCATAATGTGCAATAAAATAATTTATTAAAAAAAAAAGAAATTTGAATTGAATATCGTCTGAAATTTTAGAAAATCTTATTTTCGAATCGTAGTTTTTCAATAAAAATCGCAAAAGTGAAGAAAATTGCGTGATGTTTTCTTTTTTTTTTTTAGTAAAATTTGGCTTTAGCTTCCTAAATGTGTTTTTGGGTTAATTTTCGAATTATTTTTATATTTTTAATAGAAAATTTAGCCTATTCTGAAGTTTCGCTTCAATTTGAGCCTAATCATTCACAAAATTTCCCGCTTTTTAGAGAATGCGAATTCAAATGGTTCAAATTCCCAACTGAAATGCCAAATTTGCTTGAATGATGATGAAAACGCGCAAAAATATTTTAAAAAAACTAGGCGATTCGTAATAAATTCATGTTGAAATTAAAGCTTTTTTTCGTTTCCAACTTGGCGATTAATCGAAATTTTCAACAAAATCCAATTATGTTTCTGACTGATGAAATAAAAAATTTTTAGCAGCAAATTTGGATGAATCAGAAAAAAAAATTTGGAGCGCGTCGTGGGCATTTTTCCGAAATCGCACAAAAATTTTCAGAAAGACGTCGACACTGTTGATGTGAACAATGAGGACGACAACAAGCCGGACGATGTCGGTACCGACAAATCGTCGTCACCAAAGGTTGGATAAATTGCCGCCCCCCCGCCGTCTTATTAGCAATTTACTAAGCCCCTCGTTAATTGCAGTCGATCATCGCGAAAGACATATCGTTCTATCATGGATTCCTCGCCTCATTCTCGGTCATCGTCGTGTCGGAGCTCGGCGACAAAACGTGGTTCATCGCGGTGATAATGTCGATGCGACATTCGCGATTGACAGTGTTCGCCGGTGCGATGGGAGCGCTTGCGCTGATGACGGTGCTCTCAGGTAGATTTCGTCGCGAGACGACACAAAAATGCGAATTGCAGCGTGTCTCGGCTGGATCACACAGGTGATCCCGCGCGCCGTCACTTACTATCTGTCGACGGCGCTGTTCGCGTTGTTCGGCCTCAAAATGCTCCATGAGGGCTGGAACATGTCGCCGAACGAGGGCCAAGAGGGCTATGAGGAAGCGCAAGCCGAGGTGGCGAAGCGCGAAGGCGAGCTGGATGCGTCCAAGTTTGAAGCGCTCGAATCGGGCGGTGTCAAAGAGTCGTGAGTTGTGATTCTTCTTCTTTTTTTGTTTTGAGAAGTAATCAAACATTTGAAAACAAAAAATACTGGAATTGTTTGAGGACAATTCGAGAATTGTTCGAATGACGAATTTTGGGTGTCGTGTGTACCGATAATTAGCCGGCCGACGCAGCGTTGTCGAAAAATCGAATGCCAGAATTTTTCCGCATTGCGGTTCACGTTTACATCAAGAATTTCGAGCGCACGCGAACCGCGTCGCGTCTGACGACATTGAATAGTTTCGGTAGCCGCGTTTTGACTGTGTGTGGAAATTATCAGGCTTGTCGTATCGGCCCGGAACAGAGCTGCACGGAATTCCGTTTTTAGAAAATTTAAGTTCCGTGCAGCTCTGACCCGGAGTCATTTTTGTGAAATTATCAATCTTAATCAAATATTGAAGGATTTCTAAATCCATACTGCTACTTTCGCAAAAAACGAGCACTATCGCGGCGACATTACTCATTCCCAGTAATCATTTTTTACTGGAACGCTATAATTATTGATTTATGATCCATTTCGCATCAAAAATAAAAAAAATCATTGAAATTAGAAAAAAAAAAACCAAATTTCACCTTCTAAACAGCAAAAAACAATATGTTTCTATTGATTCACGCTAATGTTGTTGTTGATTCAGAAGCCAAACGACGAAAATCTTTTTGTTCGCCTCGCGAATCTTCATCGAAGCGTTCACGCTGACATTCGTCGCCGAATGGGGCGATCGATCGCAATTGACGACGATCATTCTCGGAGCACGCGAAAACATTGGTATGAAATGGGATTCGGGAAACCCGAAGACGTCATTTGTTTCAGCCGGTGTCATTAGCGGCGGAATTCTCGGCCACGGATTGTGCACCGGAATCGCGGTCATCGGCGGCAAAATCGTTGCGCAGAGGATATCGGTGAGAACCGGTATGTTTGAGAAGACAACAAAAAAAACCCCATTTCGTCGACTCATTTGAACAACAATTGTTACAGTAACCCTCATCGGCGGTGTCGTCTTCCTGTTGTTCGCATTGTCGGCGTTGTTCATCAATGATATCGAATCGGCGGCGTCCGCTTAATGGCTATATGTATATAGTTGAAGTCTTACCAGTGCCCCCCTTCCTTTAAGCAGCTATCATCTCCATTTTATCAGTCTCCCAGAGATCGTTCGCAATCGGCAACAATCGCACGGGTCTCGATATGTATATCGTTGTGATAGGTATTTGTCGAACCGGAACAAAAATGTTCCACTCCGTTTTTCTTTGTTTAGTAAAAGAAAATAATTTTTTATTATAATGAAATGAGCAACTCTCGCCTTTCCTTTTTCTCTCTTTCTCTCTCTCTCTCTCTCTTTTTCTCTTCATGCCGGACTAATTAGCTTTATGAGGAGATCGTCGAGTTGCCACAAATCGAAGAATTGGATTTTCTGGTGCGATTCTTGGCATTCCATTCCGACGGCCTGAATTCGTGTACATATGCATTTAAAAAAAGATTGTTCGTCCTCATCGTTTTTCTTACGAATATGCTGCTGAGCATTAGGATGACGTTGCCGGTCCGCTGAGCGATTTCGCCTTTGGCGAGATTCAAGCTTTGATAGTGAAGATTCAGCGCCTGTGATATTGGAGATTTTTGTATATTTTTTTAATATCGTTAGCCTTAAATTTGATTTTTATAATTTTCTTGAAACAGAAAACCTAATTTTCACAAATATTGTGTAAAGGTCTTTCAGATAAAAAAAAAGAAATTCGAAATGACAAAGGACAAAGCAAATCCAGATAAATATGAAAAAAATGAAGTATTTGAATAATTCGGACGTTAGAAAATTCGTGTTTTTGATTAATTTTCGCTGAAACCCAAATTCAGCCTCGATTTCAAATCAAAACTCGCTGACCTTCAACAACTGATCGAGATGAGTGTCCATGAATTTTTTGACGTTCGGCGAAATATCGAGACTGCCTGAAAATTGAAAGCAAAAAAATTTCTTCGCGAATCGTTCAATTTTACTTGCTGATTTGAAGCAGGCGAGCGCTTTGAGGATCACAAACTCGACAAAACTCATACTCATGGCGCTCATCGGCGCGCAAATCTCATTGATCGCTCGAAGCATTAAAGGACGATAGAGTCTGTAAAATATTAATATTTGGTTTTATTTTTTGAGAATTCGAATTTTCTGAAAAATTCAGATTTCGAAATGATTGAACTAGAGTTACCGTACCACTATCTTACTGTAATTTTCAATTTTCAGCCACTTTCATTCGATCGTATTTCTATGGACCCAAGTCTAATTTCCAACAAACTTCGTTCGAAAAAATTTTTATAGTCGAATCGATGACTTTTCGCCAATTTCCAATTTACAGTACCCCTAGCCTACTGTAGTTTTCAAAATTTCCAAAAATTGAACCCCTAGAGGGCGAAGCCTACTTTAATTTTCAACAAGGTTTAATCAAAATAATTTTTATAATAGATTTTCTCAAATTTCAAATATTTCAATTAGTAATTTTCAGTTAGTTTTCAACATTTTAAAAAATCGTATCCCTAGGGGGGGGGCGAAGCCTTCTAATAGTATTTAACGATTTTAATGAAAATAATTGTCAAAATAGATTTTTAAACTGTCAAATATTTCCGTTCTACCAGTAGCCCTAGAATACGGTAGTTTTCATCATTTCAAAAATATAGACTTACTAAGCTAAGCTAAGCCTAAGTACCCTTAGACGGTGTGAATTTTCATACTTTTTCTTGAGTTCCGAACTGATACACCCATTCTCATCGTGCCATCCGGTATTATCGCCTTCGACGGCGCTCACAAACGTCCCATCAAACATGATATACTTTTGCGGTAGTCCGATTCGATAGGAAATGTACGACGGATCGAGAATCGTGTGGTATAGAACACATCGTCGAAGGAATATCAGCTGAAATTACAAGAATTTCAGTAAACGTTTGTGTGTGGCGTCTCACTCGATCGTGGGTGTTGAGCATATCGAAATGCTTCCAGCCTCGAAGCCATTCATAAATCAGAAGAATCTGCGGGCGAATGTGTTTTTGAATTGAGGTGAAGCTCAACGGCTGAATGTCGTGCTCGCTGAACGGCTGAAATTGGCGACAATTTGCGAGGCCTGGTCTCGAGACGATATTAAAGGTGCATTAAACATTGAACCAAAAAAAAGAAAAGATAATGGTCCCTTACAATATCATTGACATTTTCGGTGATGAGAAGCTTCGAAATACTACTATGCGAGCAGTAGAGCAATTTTCGTCGCTCGTTGAATAGTCGCTCTTCCCTTAAAAGGTCATCCAGCAATTGTTCCACTTCAAAATCTTTATTGAATCTGAATTTTGCTCAAATTTGCTCTTATTTCTTTCTGAAACACTTCCAGCAAACCCATTAAACGGTATTGAAATTTTCGGGGACGGATTATCTTCGGAAATCGACGACGAATATGATTGCGCGTAGTGGATTTCAGGGCTTTGGTCACTGTGCTCCTCAAAATTGTGCAATTGAAATTGTTATCAGAATATTTTGTTACTTGGCCGTGTATTATATCCATAGTTATCAGATTTGGTGGCTCATGCTGCAAAAAATTTGGAATCTTGCTAAAAAAAACAGCAAAAATTACATTTTGGTTAACAAAATTCGGAAATTCAGAATTCAGACTTGAAGATGGCTTCGATATACACTTATGAGACCTTCTTTTCGCATCTTGGTACATTATTTTCCTTCGTCCCGCGTTGCAATCCCTTCTTGGCTGAACGGCCGCTCTGAAAATCGTTGAGAAATCAATTTTCAAATTCCAAATCGCGATTTCACCTCTCCATTCCCATTTGAATGCATTTTCGATATCGGCACGCTCTGCATATGACTCTCATCGCTGTAAAATGGTTAGAATGCGTCAAAATAGAATGAAAAACGTACTGAAATTGACTTGACAGCTTCCATGATGAGCGCATAGAAAATTCCGGTTCAACGTGACGGTTCGACGGAAGAACGCGGCGCACGCCGAGCACGAGGGCGCGTTGAAGTGATAGCCATTCGATGGCGCCTGGCAGATGGCGCATTCTCTCGCAATATCCTCTCTGGGGCCCCAATCTGCCAAAAAAAAATTGAAAAAAAAGACGAACATGTCAAATTTAATGTACAGTCCGTAATATGAGTACTCGGCGTACCACAGACAACACGTGATTTTTCTTTTTTTACATTTTACAAAAATTTTTACCTTGATATGTCCCGATTTCCGCAACAACGCTTTGCATTCTTTTTCTGAAATTGGTTAAATTTAAGATTCGACATCGTCTGAAAAGCCAACGACGCAAAAAAAATGAAAAATCGATGAGCAAAACCCGAGTATTTCAATTGACAACTATCCACTTGTGGCTCGAACTTTCTTATCAGTTAATGCGGGGCCGCGGTGGCGGGCGACAACTGCCCGAATACGGAAAATAAATGTGCCCGAATTCCTCAGCAATTTTTCGGGGCATCGATCAACAAAGCATGGCCCCCAGCCGTCGATCCACTCCTAGAAAACCAAAAACGCGTTTTTTTTTTGTAATATTTTTTTTTCGTTGAGCTACACCATGTAATTCAAATGTTTTCAGTTCAGTGCACTTTACAAAAACAAAACCGAAAAAAACAATTCAATGCAACAACACCAAAAAATTTTATGATAATGATAATTATATCGAAAGCAATAACACGTGTTGGCCGGCCGGTTGCGAGGGAGAGAAGAAAACTGCCGAACTGAGATCACATCGTTTTATTGATTTTTCATGAGCTCATTGAGCTTCACATATCCTGCTTTATCACCATTGGTGGCTCCATCTGAAACACAAGTCCCCATTAAAGGTCAAACTTATAAGGTCATTCATTCTCACCGCCGCCAACGCCTCCTGAAGCTGCACAATCATTCCCATCGAATTGGCGTCTTTCGATAGCACATAGCATCGCAAAATATCCAAAGCATACTGCACTTCCTTATTCGGGTGTCGCAACGAGCAGCTTCTCACTATGTCGAGTACAGGATTCGATTCTGGCGTCTTCTGAAAACGGACAATTTCGCCAATCTTCACAAAATAAGAGGTGACCTCTTTTTCGCGTTTTCAACATTTATTCCGAAAATTCTTTTTTGAGTAAAGAAAATCGTCAATATTTCAAAAACCCAAAAAGTATGAATATTGACGAGATAAAATTGTTTGAAAAAAAAATGTACCGCTTTCATTATGTTATCAAACATGATCATGGGATTCGGAATACTCTGCGGAATTGGTCGAACCGGCGTCGGCGGTTGTTGCTGCTGCTGCTGCTGCTGCGGCGCTGACATGAGACCAGCAATATCGAGTGGCTTGATATCAGTGAAGTTGGCCGTCGCCTGTTCGGTAGGCGGCGTTGATGCCGCTGCTGCCGCCGCCGCCGCCGCCGCCAACGATTCCATCAGCGACGACGACGACGTCGGCTGCATATCGCTCGCCAGCGGCGATCCGGCGCTGCTCGCCTCGCCAGTGTCCATCTCGCCGTCCATTTCGCAAAACTCATTCTCATAGGCGACCGGCTGACCGGTCATCAAGCGCAAATCGATGCGATGCCGTCGCTTAAACGCGTCGAGCCATCCCTCGGAGCCGCGAAACGTGTCGAGACCTGCAAAGAAAAGCAAAAAATTCGGTGGAAAATTGCAAAAAAAAGAAATGTCCGCAACAATGAGCGCTCGGTGTCTGCGGACCACCGCCGCCTACCGTACCACATTTAATTTTTTTAATGTTGCCCTAAAAAATCGCACATTTTGTACAACAAGCGGGTCAGAGCACAAGATTCGGCAAATTGATTGACGGCGCAAACGCACAGGAGAGAGATAAGCGTTTTTTGGGCAAAAAAAATCGAACAACTGTCGAAAAACTCGAGAAATTGGCCACAATTTATTGGAAGACGATTGTTGTCGGGGTCTCGTCGCGACAAATTCCATTGGAGAAAGCCATGATGTCCCGTGGGGCTGAGAAGAGCAAAGAAAACCGCACCGCGTGCTATCCCTTATAAGGGTTGGCAAATTGAAATGTTCAAAAAATCGAAAGATCGGAATTTGAAAATTTCCAGCAATTTTTAACATTTTCAGTAATTTTTTGAAAGATGTAACAAAAAAAATCGTTCGCGTCACTTCCACAACCAACAATTCTCGAGAAAACGACGAAAAAAACACAAATCGACAAAGAAAAAAAGGAACGAACCAAGATATTTGGCATATCGCATCGCTTGATCCTTCAAATTTTTGCCGTTCAACGTGACGCCGGCCTCCTGGCACTCTTTGAAGTACTTCCACACCAATTTGTTCAAATCGACGTAGTGCGTGCGGCGAATCTAGAAACGAAGAAATGAAATGCGCTTCTTCTTCTTCTTCTTCTTTTTGTGTCTCTCAAGACGCCTACCTTCGCGCGAGGCTTCAAATAGCTCTCGGTTGTCATGATTGGAAGATGCTCTGAAAACAAAAAAATTCGGAATCGAATCGAAATCGAAATTCGGGCGTTGAATGTATGCGATTGGCTGGTATGTGTGTATATGTGTGTGTGTGGGGTTGAACAAAAAGAAAAAGAAAGAGAAGTGTGTGTGTGCGTGTGTCGGCACAGAATTTTTACCTCCTCTCTCTCTCTCCCTGTTAAAGGGAGGGGGGAAAAGAGGGAGGGAGGGAGGGAAAGAGACGCATAAAAGTGGTAAACATTCAATAGAGAAAGAGAGAGGGAGAGAGAGAGGGCCGACCTCTTTCCCTCCCTCTCTCCCTCTCTCTCTCTCTCTCTATTTCGCGCTGCTGATGGACGGCGGGAGGCCGCCGCCGACGGGAAGGCAGGCCCAAGAACCGGACTCGTCCTCCCCGCCACCACCACCAACACCTCCTTTTTCTCTTTCCCCCTCCGAATCACACATGTGAGGGAGAGAGAGAGAGAGAGAGAGAGAGGGACATGTGATGATGATCGTCTTCATCAACACCATCCGGACGCGCAAGAAAAATTGGGACAATTTTTTGGAATATCGCCTCGCCGGAATATTCTTGGGTGCAATCGCTCCACGAAAATGTTTCCTAAAACACTTGATTCGTTAATTTTTTGTTGAAATTTTTCAATATTTTTGAATTATTCGATAAAATTCCATTTTTCCCACCTCAAATTTTTGCAGAACACCCGATGTTGCAAGCAGAGAGATAGCAATCTGCTTGGGAGTTTTTTTTTGTTGTAAATTGCATTTTTTACGAATTTTTTTAAGACAAAAATTTAAGAGGGTTTTGTTTTTGAGAATAATGAAATTTGAAACGCGAAAAATTGAAAAAATCGCAATTTTTGTTTAATTTTTATAATTCAAATTTATGGGCTTAATTATTTAATCATATATAAATTTATATTATTAATTTTAAATTAAAGAATAAACTTAAAAATCGAAAATGACTGAGCATTTGCACTTTTCGACAAACTCAAAAATCACCTTTGTCATTTTGAACTTTACGCTGCTTTTCATCCAAATTATCGTCATTCTCGCATTCTTGCACTCTAAAAATTTTAAAATATTAGAATATAAGATAAAACGTGAAAAGAAAGGGAAATAACATTACATTTAAAATAAATTTTAAAAATTGAAATTAATATCTAATTGATTTCAACAAATTTTAAGGAAAATGTGCTCCAGTTTCAATTTTACGAAGATTCAACCAAGAAAAAAGTATTTGAAATCTCGAAAAACGAATCTAAAAATTTGAAATTGAATTCAAAACGAATGCGTGCATATTTGCGCCATGGTGAATGCGTATCTTTGGCGCGCGCATTCAAATTTTTGAAAATCCAAATTAATTTTTTGTGGAAATGCCCCAGAGCTTGATATTTCTTCATTTCAACTAAAATTCGGCATCATTAAAATAATTATTTGTAATTTATTGACGATAGAAACAAGCGGGAATTCAAATTCGTGAATACATACGTTGTCGTATCGCTTTCAGAATCTTGCCTCTGAAATTCGGAAAATCGTCGATATTATAAAAAAATTGCGGCAAATACCTTGAACGTATCGAAAAGACGGTCCATTTCGAATAATGGTCCTTATTGAATCGATTATCAATGATGAGAGGGACCCGATGATTAGGCGACGGGCACTCTCTCACATTCGAATGCTCTCTCGCCACCCTCTCTGTTAAGATAAAATCTCGCGCGCAATTTTTTTAAAAGTTGGCATGCGCCTTCAAAATGGAGCGACGTTCACCAAATAATTCGCCATAAAAGAATCATGTCGAGACCTGATGAGGAAAAAAAATCATTTTGTAAATAAGTTCAAATTTCAATGAAAATCCAAAATTCTGAGATAGTAATATTAAGGGTCAATATTAAAAAAAAATAATAAATTTTTTGTTTTTTTCTTTTGCATTACCCCTCGAAAAAAAATTAATCTAATAGAAAATGACTACCATAATAAAAAAAGACACCCAGCCAATAAATTGTGATGAAAATTTAAAAAAAATATTTTTCAGAAAGTCCAAAATTGTTCGGCAATTATCATTTCCGAAATTCTGCAAAAAATTGAAATCAGTTTCTCCTGACACCAACAATTCGTTCGATGCACCCAAATTTTCATATCGTCGTCGAACGTTGGCATTTTTATCAAACTTTTTCTCAACTATAGATTTAATTTTAACCTTTGATTAATGGTAATCATTATCAGTGAAAAAAAATGCAAATTTCATTGGGACACCTAATAATGAGCAAAATCCTTGCATTATCTAATAGAATTTTCGAGCTTTGCTCCAAAAAAATCAAAATTTTTGTGAAGAAAAATGCGAGAAAAATATTCCATGTGCAAAATGTCGTCAAATATCGCGCATTGTGCGATTCGCCAAATCTTACGACAACTCGATTTATTTGAATTTTTCCGAATTTTTCGATTTCAGCTCGATTTCTATGGAAGCTTTTGCCAATTCCTTTTTCAAAAAGCCCAAAAATGAGAACATTTTGACCTCTGCAATAGCAAATTATTGTTGACGAAACCGAAAAACTGTTATCAATTCGATGGCATGTGCGCACGCGCTGATTTCGAATGATTGATAGTCGTACAGCTACACATTATTGTTAAATGCCGAATAAGGTGGTCCCTGCCGGGTGAGCTTCAACTTCCAGTCTTCTCTCTCTGAATGCCGATTTTCAGCGACGCCGTCGAAAAAACGACATCATGGCAATCAATGTATCTTCTGACAGCGATCGGCATGTTCTGCGGAATCCAGTTCTCAATTTTCTTTCCAACTCTATGGCCATTTTTGAATACAGTAAGGTCTATTTGAGCAACATAAGAAATCTTCTAAGTTCAGATCGACCCTACAGCTTCAGCGTCCTTCTTCGGCCTCATCACCGCGTCATTTTCAATTGGCCAAGGTCTCGCCTCGCCAGCTTTCGGCTACTGGATGAATAAGACCAAATCGGGTAATTTTTTGGAAAACCTTTGGCAATTGCTTTCAAAATTGCGAATCGGTGCATTTTTGTCATCGACAAACATTCTCATTGACATGAAGCAAGGGTCCAAAATAATTTGACGTAAATCGACAACTATTTTTTGCAAGTTTTGTATAAATTCCACACCTCCTTTCAATGTTTCTTACAAGATAGCGTTTTGTTGGGATAAAATAAATAATAAGTATCGCAAAAACCCGAATTTTTGCAGTCCGCCAGCCGTTGGTATTCGGCATTATCATAATGATCCTTTCCAATGTGATTTTCTGTTTCGTTGAAGCTTTTCCGGAGAAGAAGCGACGATGGGTGATGATGGCGGCGAGGTATCAAATTTCAAATATTTTGCGCGTTGATTAAAAACCAGCATGATACCGAGCAGCAATATTCTCCGACATGCGCCTTTAAAAAATTGAAATGTTCGAATTTTGTGGTTTTTAAGGGAAAAGTGAAATTCGGTTATTAAAGGCGCATTCAGTGGTTTTCTTTTTCAAACTAGACATATTGGCATATCAAAAAACCCAATTTTTTTTGTCGAAATCACAACTTCGGCATTCTTCAGATTCTTCATCGGCGTCGGCGCCGGCACCGTTGGCGTGATGCGAGCCTACGCGGCGACGGCGAGCAGCCTACGCGATCGTGCTCGCGCCATCACCTTCATTCAAGCGTCCTACGTGATCGGAATGACATTGGGACCCGGTGTTCAGGTAAAAAATGGCAATTCAAAAAAAAAGAAGAGAGAGAAATTCAGGTCGCATTTATTCCCATCGGTTTTCCGGGCTTCTCGCACGGCGTCGTCCACATCGACATGTACACATCGCCCGCCTGGTTCGCCACAATCATTTGCATTCTCTCGATCGTCTTTATTTTCATATTTCTCGTCGAGAATTATGCGGGCGTTGAGGCGGACGACGACGACGACGACGCGGATAGTTGGGTTCTTCTTTTTTTTGTTGCTTGACCTCATTCAATATTAATTTTACGCGTTTTGAGGTCCGTTCACCGCGTTGCCGAAATTCGATGGTCCGTCAGTGGCCGTCTGCGTCGTCACCCAATTCACATTGATGTTCATCATCACCAATTTGGAAACGTGAGCCTTTATTTTTATTTCGTTGCCAGTCTCAATTATGAAATTCTAGAATCGGATCGCTTTACGCGAAAATGATGTGGGGCTGGTCGAATGCGCAAGCGGTTGAATATATCGGTTAGTCTAATCGCAATTAGAAACCGGCGGGATAATTGCCTAATTAAAGGGATGTTGCAAGCGGTGAACGGTCTCGTCGGTGTTCTCGTCTACGCGCTATTCGCCGTCAAACTCGGCGATTAGTAGGAGCCTCGCTTTCGTGCGCGAATGTCTGACACTCAATTTTCAGCATTTCGGCGTCGCGCGAGCGAATTTTCACCATATTCGGCTTGTGCCTCGGCGTGATCTACCACGTCGTCACATTTCCCTACCCGTGGGGCTCAAATCTTGGATTCGAGATCAAAAGTTGAGATCGACCCACTTCAATGTTGTTGTCCTACGATATGTTATTTTTGTTTCTCATTTCCAGACGTCACAATTCACGGTAAAAACGCGAGCGAAGAGCTTGGGTGCAATCCGCACAAATACCATTGGTGCAACTACACCAAACATGTCAATTTTTGGCTGTACGCCTCGATGTACGGTATCGTGCTCGCCGCGTGCTTCCCGATCGTCAATATCAGCATGAACACGTTGTTTAGCAAAATTCTCGGAGCGCGAAGACAGGTCTCGTTTTGTTTCCAATTTCCGATTATCAATTTTTTTTGTTTGGAAAATTGAAAATTGTTTTCAGGGCACAATGCAAGGAATCATGCTAATGTCTGGAAGTCTTGCGAGAAGCCTCGGACCATTATTGGTCTCGTGGGTGTTTCAGGTATCGGGTCCCGAGCCGCTTTGGGGAATTGAGGTTCGAAATGACGAAAAAGTGAATTTTCATGGAAAAATGCCAATAATCCTAGCCTTTTTTTTTAGAAATTCTCAATTATTAAAGTTTTTCCAGAAATTTCTACCAAATTGATCAAAATTGCTTAAATTCGGATATTTTACTTGAATTTTTCAATTTTTAGATTCTCGTGCTCACCATCACCATGCTCCTATGGATACTTTGCTATCGACGAATGGTTCCATTGGATTCGAGTCCAAAACTCTCACAATTCGAGCATTTCCACTATAACAAAGGCGTTCGGTATCGAATTTAGAAAAAAACTAATCAAATGTTGCTTTTTTTGTATTGTAAATAACAAATATGATCTCTAAACTATCTAGTAAATCCAAAAAAAAAGGACCCGAATGATAAATTTTTGAAATATTCTAGAAGATTTTAACTAGCTTTTAGCTTCTTCGTCTTCTCCACCTGTTCTTCCTCCTCATGAGCTGGACCAGGGTAATCCTCGAAGAACTTCTTCTTCGCCTCCTCGAGTTTACTCAACGGCATCTCAAGTTCGATTTCGGGTCGCTGGCTTTTCGGTAGCATCTTGCGATCGATGAGAATTCCGTCTTGGCTCTTCCACTTCGCCTCGTGCTCCAGAATTCGTTCAGTCTTGAAAATTGTGATAGTTTCTGGGATGAAGCTCGTCGCGCCTTACCGTTTCCGTCCATTCGTAGCCGCTCGGTGAGCCGACTAGAAGGTGGCGAAGTTTGCCGCCGCTGAGCGCGTCGATCCTCTCGAACTCGACGTCGCTGATTTTTGGGATTTCTCTGCAAACATTGGTGTTGAGGAATTCATTAAAAAATAGATTTCTAGCCAAACAATTTCAAGGATTTTCAGCCAAAAAAAATGTCGTAGAATTCGGTGTTTTAGGTACGCAGTACACCGACTTACCGTACTCCGCGCAGAATTTTTTTCAGATTTTCACAATTCTCCCATTTTTTTGCTGCTGATCGTTTTCAGAAAAAAAAATCCAAGGAAATGATAAATTTACTACGTACCAAAACACCGGATTCCACGACATAGCACAAATACAAATAAGGTTGATTATTTTGCGCCAAATTTACTATATTAATTAGCATAGCAAATTTACTATATAAAATTTTAAAATATGTTGAGCAATTTTCGAAATACACGATTTTCTAAACATTCTGAAAAATTAATTATTAAATTTTACAAATCTCTTATAATAATTTGGAATTTTCAATAATTTATTGAAATTTGAAAATATTTTCGATCGTTTGCCTGAAAAGTTGTGTTTGAGCGAACCTTCGAACAGTGGATGTCATAATCGGATTATCGAGATCATCAGTGACGGGCCTCTCGTTAACATTTCCCATCACCAAGAACAATCTCGAGTTGTCGTCTTCGAGGAACGCGTTGCCTCGCGCGTCCTGCACAACATTCTCATTCTCGAGAAGACGCGTTTCGGCTTCAAGCAGCTTCATCGACATCTCATAATCGACGCCGAGCACCTCCAAATGTGGCAGTGTTTGCTCGAGAATCAACGCCGCTTTTCCAATATCCTACAATTTGGTTGATTGATTGCTCAAAAATGAATCCGACGATCTTCTTATTACCTTCGCTTGAATTCCCTCGACGCGCAAATATTTCAATTTCTTCAAATTCTTGAGACCCATTAGGCCTTTTGACGAGATTCGCTGACAACCCGAGACATCGAGCATCTCCAAATTCGGCATCAAACCGCCGATTCGACTCATCGCCCAATCATCAATGTACTCGCAATCAGCCAATCGAAGAAGGCGAAGCTTTTGGAGGTTTTCGAGATTTTCGAGACCCTCAAACATGATCTCCGTGCCGCTCGCGTCGATCGCCTCAATGAACAGATTCTCGACTTTTCGGCCAGGAAGGCTGTACCTCTAGAAGCGAAATCGATTTCGGCTCGTTGACACACAACTCACATTGTTTTTGTCCTTTTTATACCAGGCGTCGTCGCCGACGAACTTCACCGCCGCTCCGCGATGGACGAGAAAATGCGCGGCGGCGAGATCGGCGCCCAGAAATAGTAGGCGTTCGGGATTCACCCTGAAAATATTTCAGTTGTTCGACTGTATTTTTTTTTCCGTGTGCTGTCACAATTCTCGAATTCGAAAGCAAAAAACCCTGATTCGATTCAAAAATTTTCGAATTCAATTGATTTACCACAATTCTACCTTTGATCATACTGCATGTGCTGAAAATTGGTATATCTCCTATGCCTCCGAATATTATCGATTGAATGATCGACATATCGCATTTGGGTGTGCCATGTGAGCAATTCCATTGGCAACGCGCCGGTGTCTTTTCGCGTTTGATCGGCTCGCGCTTTTTTCGGAGCCACTGCAATTTCTCTCATTTTTTTTCACAAAATGTTTTTTTTTTAATTTTTACAATCTTCCGGCTTTTCTGGAGTGATGTACATTCCTGTTGGCAGTTTTATGAAATTCTTTTGCCTCATTCTATCCATTATATTGTCATGCTGAAGAAAATCGCAAGATAACATTAATTATTTGGAAAATGGTTCACCTGCTCTTTTTCCATTTCCTGCCATCGTTTGAATCGCGGCCATTTATGTATCCAACCTTGTGATTTCGACGATGTGCTTACGCCGCGAATCAGCTGCCGGCACGGTTTCATCGCTAGAATTTCAATTATTAATGATAAATTTCGTGAAATTTGAACGAAAATGAGCGATAAATGTCTGCGCTCTCTCCGGTTTGCGCACTATTTCCGCTGGTACGATGTGCAAGTACGCAAACACCACGTCTGCAAACACTTCATTATACGAGGAAGACGCGTTTTTATTTTTTTTGCCTAATTTTTTTCAAACATTTAAACTTGTTAATTGCAACATTCTATTCTTAGAAATGGTTTTGACCGCTGCCGATGCTAAGAAATTGACGGTTCCCCGTTTAAAAGACGAACTTTCGAAACGCGGCCTTGAAACTTCCGGAAACAAAGCCGATTTGCTCGCGAGACTTATTGAGAGCATTGAAGCTGACGAAGATTCAATTTTAAATGACACAGTTCCTGGAGATCTCCCACTGCCAAGCGGTAAGCTTATGTTATTCGGATAATGATTTATTTAAATTTTTAGAAGATATTTTGAATGAAGATATACTCGATGCTCCAAGTATCAATGGGGATGATGATAAATTGCTCAACACGTCAACTGAAGAAGCCTCGGAGGTTGAAATTAAAAAAGATGAAACCTCACAGAATGATCAGCAGAAGAAACCCGCTAGCCACGAGGAGACGAAACTCGCTAGAGCCGCCAGGTTCGGCCTCCCAGTTGGAGTAACAGCTACCGCGGAAACTCTGGCTTCAACTGCTGCCAAGGAAGCAAGAGCAAAACGTTTCGGTGTCACTGCCAATGCAGAAGTGTTAAGCTCTGAAGAGAAAAAAGCGAAACGCGCTGAACGATTCGGAATCACTGGAACCGACGTCTCAACAAAAGATAAGCTGGCGGCGCGGGCGGCGAGATTCGGAATTCCAGTGAATGCTGATGGCAAGAAGACTATAGATACAGTAAGAATGAACTATGAGATATCTTTAAAGTCAAAAATGAAATTTATAGAGTGACGAGAAGCTGAAATCCAGAGCTGTGAGATTCGGGCTTATTGATGCCGACGTAAGATAATTCTCAATTTTTGATTTCAAATTCCAAATTTTGCAGGCTGAAGCCAAGAAAAAAGCGAGATTGGAACGATTTGGGGCTTCAACTTGATCAGAAACCTCATAACAAAAATATTACCTCAATTAACTTATTGTTGTTTCAAAAAAAAAGAACGATCACACAAAAATTATTGTTAATAAAAGATTGTGAGAACGCAATTCCCAATAATGTTCTCGTTCAATTTTAATTCTTTTCTATTTTCATCGATAAATGTTTCTTATCATTCTATGATTATCTGAGATTTGAAAAATGAGAAGCAATAAACGAAATTCAAGTGATATGGAAGATGCCGAAATCGAGATCGAGGCGGTTCGCAGCATCTGGCCAGATGTTCTAGTAGATCGGTAAAAACGAATTAGCAATAAAAAATGTTGTAGTTGCCTTAAATGGAAAAATTCAGCTCAATTCCCGGCCACCTAATTGTAAAGCATAAGATCAAATCGATGGAGAATGAGGAAACGTCGGCGAGTGTTCGAATCGAAGTCAAAATTTCGGCGCGGGTTTGCGCATCGGCCCGACGAGGGACGCGAGCAATTTCTGGAGTTTCAGTATCCGTCTGAGGCGCCGATTGCGGCGGTGTCGAATCCGCGCGGCATCGACGATAAGGATTTCGATGAGCTTCAAACAAAAATCGATGAGTTGATTCGGAATAATCGCGACGAAATGCCGATTATTTGCGAATTATTCCAAGTGAGTCGTTGTGGCCGTGGCCTAGAGATCCACGGCCGCGGCCAAATATTGCTTTTTTTTGCCGGTCGAGAAATGAGATAAAATGAGTTGGGCGAATAAGGATGAGAAAATATTTTTAAAGTCGATGCAAAAGAAATGCACCTTTAAAACGTTCATACGAATTTTTTACCTAGCATTATTTTAGAAATCCGGATTTTTATCCAACCGTAGTACAGAAAAGTCGTTTTAAAAATTTGGTGATTTCTATTTTTATTTTAAAAAGAAGCTAATTATAAGGGGAATTTTGTTAATTTGAATTTTAGTTTAAAAAAATAGAATTTAAATTTTAAAAAGAAATCATCTGCATTTTTTTGCAGCACCCTCAATGAGACGTTTTGTCATTGAAAAAGTTCCATTTTTTAATAGGAAAGAGAATTTGATAAACTTTTGAATGATATATAATATTTTATACTAAAAAAAAACGTTTTGTCGAAAGAAAAATAATATTTCTGCATTTGATTTGCAACGGCTTTAATAATTTAAATTCCAAATTTCATTAACAAAAAAAAAAATATCGCTCAAAATCATTTTGCAGATGTGCTGCGACTTTCTAACCGAACGTCAGCACACCAGCGATCTCGCATGTCTGATCTGCCTTCGCGATCTCGCCCAACTGCCGATCACCGTGACGCCGTGCGATCATTTCCTGCATTCGAAATGTTTCATCAAATATTTGAGCCATGTGGAAATCGACAAAAAACGCGAACTCGATGAATGCGAGAAGAATTTCCGAGCGATTCTCGATCAGGTGAGAGCCGATTCGTTTTGCTGAAACGCGCATTCCAAATTTCAGACGGTCTATTGCCCGGTGTGTCGATATTCGCTAACCGGCGGACGCGATTTTCGTTCGGAGATTCGCGAGCTCGTCCACGACGCCAAAAAGAATCAGAAGACGTTGAAGAAGGCGACGGCGGAGGTGGAGAGTCCGCTCGACTTGAAAAAGTTGGAAACCCGCTTCGATTTTTTGTTTTTCGAAAATTTGATTTTTTTTTCTTCTGGCAGATGGCGTGAAGAGCAGAAGCGATTGCAGGCGATTTTTGAGAGGCAAAAAGAGCGCGGAGGAATCATCGACGAGGAAGCGGAGAGGAAACGATATTTCTATATCGACACGACGAATAATTCGGGAAATTCTAGGCGATTGTGATAAAGTTTTTCGATTGTGTCGAATTTTTCGCGGCGAGACCCATTTCTATAGAACGTCGGCGTCTCCCGCGAAGAGGATCTCTTGGAAATTCGGAAAAATTCACCACAGATACCTAGTAGGAAGCTTAATCGTTACGAGACCCGCAAAAACGCTTCTTGGCGAAACTCGTTCGCATCGAGACCCAATTCAAATCACCAACCAATTTCCAGGAGTTTGTCATTTTCCCGTCGAGACCCACTTTCAAATTTTGTAGCGATATTGAGATATTTTCGAAATTTCGCGACAATTTGTTGGCGTTCAAAATTCAAAATTTTGCCATTTTCGCCGCGAGACCCATTCAAAATATTGGCGCCGATTTCGAAAAATTCGATTGTCGAAATCGCTGCGACAAATTTGATAAAAGCCCGAAGTGGTCTCGAGGCCAATGCGCACCCTCAACAACGTGGCGTAAATCGACAATTGTGTTGCGAGACCCAACTCTAAAGATATCGACAATTAAAAAAAATAATTCGATTTTAACGACAAATTTTACGAGTCGACTTCTCGCTATAAAACGCGAATTGGCTTCAAAAAGGGAAAAAAATTAAAGTCGGAAATCAAAATGACGAAGTATCTTCGATTCGTTCTAATCACCATCATCATGATGGCCGCCGAATGCCAATTGCCGTCGTGCGCCGACGCGATTTGCCCGGAAAAATTCACAAAATTCACACGTGCGAGTGGACGCGCGTTTTGCCTTCGAGTTCGGCCACGGCCACATGAGAATTATAGGCGATTTTGCAGGTCGTCGGCAATTTGTCAGTGAATTATTATCAAGCGCAGAAGCATTGCAATTCGCTTCATCCGTTCGCCAAGTTGTTCGGAATCGCTTCGGAAGCCGAATACGATTTTGTGATTGGTAAGACGATTCGCTGACGCGCCATCGACGATGGGTTTCAGCGCAGACCGGCGAGATGCGCCACTACGTCGGCGCATTTCGGAATCCGTTGTGCCATCAGAATAAGACGGAACTCGAGAAGCGCGTCGAATGCACCGTCGACAAGGTTTAAAGGCGCATCAGAAGTGTTGGTGAAAATCGTAAAAAGCAAAAGCTGAAATTTCGAAATTTTTCATTTTTTGCGATTCTCCGAGGAATTGAATTCATTTTGAGCAATCATTTGAACAACTAAAAGTCCGCAAACACCTTGGAATTTATAGTTTGCCACATTTTCAGATTTATTGAATTCAAGAATTTTTTTTGAACCAGGCTTGAACTTATTTAGAGTTCCGGCGTGATCAATTGTTTCCTTGTCGTTTTTTCGGCTGAAATCTCTTGAAATTTGACTGGTCCAACAGTTTTTGGTCCCAATTGAGGCAGTTGTGATTCTGACAGAAAAAATTTGAAAAAAAAAACCAAGAGAGCAAAATTTTTGAGGCGAAGAATTCCAAGCATTTCGCCAGCTTAAAAAAGTGCTTTCCAAATTTTCAATAATTCATTCAAACCTCTATATATAGTCAAGGACGGTGGATTTTATGTGATGCGATTACTGTAGCATTCGAATTGCCGCCTTGGCTCTCGAATGGAAATTCTCTTATGGGCGAGTTTTGCTGAATTTAATCAAAAATCCTGTGAAAGCTCATTTTTAAAATTGTCAAACGAGAGATGAGTTTAATAAGCACATTGCGTTTTTAAACGGGACCCAATTAGTTGTGAAGCCCCGCGAAATTCAAATTTGTGCGCCTTTAACCTATCCTTATACATAATTGATCATTTTGGGCAAGAAATAATTTTTCTAGATGTTCAAATTCACCGACAACTACACGACAAGCAATTTTCTGTGGAATCACGAGTGGGAGTGCGACAATCCCGACTCGACCTATGTCTCGTAGGCCCCCCCCGAAAAAAAAAATATCAAAATTGCCAAATTTTTTTTAGTGGCGAGTATGAGAGCGCGATTGCGATTAGCGATTGGGGAATCGAGGACATCAGGTTTCGAGACCCCCCCCCCCCCTCTCTCTCTCTAGACATTACTGAATTTGTTGAAGCTCGACGACAAAACTGGCGGGCGCCGTGTGCGGTGGAGCCGTGTGCTGCGGCAATTTTTGCAGTCGCAACATTCCGGGAAGTCCCAACTACAAGGCGAACTCGACGAGCGGGTAGAATTGAATTCGTCCAGCAAAAATAAATCAAAATTTTTCGGATTTTTCACATTTTTTATTATAGAGTCGCGAAATGTTGCGAGACGACGCGATGAATGCTGTGCGGCGGCGGCGGCGGACCAACGCCAAGGAGATTCTAGTTTAAAGGCGCATCGTTTGTCGTCGAATAATTCAATTATATTATTTTTTTAATCGAATTTTGATGCTACTATGCAAAAAAAATCTAGAAAAAAAATTCAGAAACTTCGGCCACGGCCAGATTTTAGGAAGCATTTAATTTTTGCCAAATCTCTGCAAGAATTATTTTCAACCCAGGTTCTCTTTTAAGCAAAAGGCTCATGGAATACGATTCTTACAGCGATTTAATACTTCGGTGCTGTAGGCTTCGAACCTGGCCGTGGCCGAGGTTTTTGGAGGTTTTTTAAAGGCTAAAATTATATATATTGGACCAAAAGGTTCAATTTTTTTCATAAGAAAATGTTCTGACACACAAAATTTATTAATATATTTTTAATGATCCAATTTTTGCTGAAATTTTTCTCAAGTGTACACCAAATTCTCTCATATTACAAGTGTCCGATGAGCGTCGAAGCATTACACAAAAATCGGCGTTGAAACGTTCAAAAGTGCAATCTCGGCGAGCCATTGCAGATGTTTTCCGGCCGGTTTTACTAGAAAATTGTCCTGAAAAAAAGGACGAGGAAAAACCGGACAAACGGATTACTTTCATTTTTCCATTGGATGACTAGGGGTCGATTATAATCCGTCGAACCCCCCTCTCTCTCTCTCTATCGATTTCCATACCGCCCATTGGCGTTTTTATTTATTTAATACACTTATATTACTATATATTATGCAAACAATCGGTAATCGGATGATGAGCGACGCGTTCACCGCGACGCCAACTTGCACACATTTCTTGTTGGCTGTCATCATCCGGCGCGCGGACAAAAATTGTTTATAAAACCGCGACGGTCTCGGCCGGGGGCCCGCAAAAAATAAACAAAAGCGTTTTTGTCGCCGGCTACACACCGACCTAAAACTCCTCGACATTATTATTGAAACGAATCGATCGATTTTGCCGTTATATCTATTTTTTTTGTTTTTCGCCGGCCCTCCGACTAGTTTTTTTTCGCCTTCGCCAAGTGTCATCGCCCCACAAAATTTTTTCATCATCATCTTCTTCGTCGTCGTCGTCTTTTTCGTCTTGCCCGCATTCTTCAATTTTATCTCGAATTTCGATAATATGGATCAAGGTCGAATAAAGTGCGCTGATGCAAACCAAATTTGATTTTTTTTTGCGTTGTGGCGACGCCCAATTTGTTGAAATTTTGCCTCGTTTTGCGCGCCGTCTTCCTCGCTCTCTCATCGTCTCATCGCGCTGCCTTCCACCAAAATTTTACACTTTTCGACTCGGCTCATTTCTAATGCATTGGGCCGAAAAGTTGGTTGACCGACACTCTTGCACTTAACCGCAATCCCGCAGCTACACTAATTGTCGGTTATAGCGCAATCGGTAAATCCACAATTTTGGTGCGCGACAAGTGACGAGTTCAATGTCGGCCCGCGCCACTTTTGTTTTGCAATGACTCACCACCAATGATTTCATAATTTTTCATCGCGCCAACCTCATATTTGCACAGAACACCCATCGAAAAACTCGATTGAATATCATTTCGACCATTGTTTCTCATTTCCCCGTTTTTTTTTAATGAATTGCAGCCAGCTTCCACTATTTGAATAGGCGATGTATATTAAGCTTGAGAATTTTTAATTTTTATCCAAAATCAAATAATTTTGTCAGGCAAAATGAAATTGAAAGTCCATATAAGCGACGCAGGTCTGAAGTCACGAAAATAATTGTCATTTTCAAAATTTCAAAACGACCCAACATTTATCCAATCATCAATCAAGCTTCTCCTCAATAATAATAATACGAGACGTGACATGGAAACTGCAAAAAGCCGCGATGTTGGCCGCCATCGCGTTACCATCCAATTATACAGCCATCGTCAAATAATGAATTCCGCCCCGAATGGGGGGGGGGCCTCGAATACCAGCGTTGGAGAGCCGACTCGAAATAGAGAAACGCGACGGCGAGACAGTCCGCATACATAATTGGAAGTGCTGGGCGCAAAGCCACCCACCAGCCGTCCGAGTGGCCAACACGCATTCCCGGGAGAAACACCCGGCCGTCCGGCGTACGCGCTAAGCTCACGGTTGCCCCTGGTAACAAAAACAACGACCAAATTTCGCAAGCCGAATTTTTTTCAATTTTTTTCTCGAATTATGGAGAAAATAACTCATGTATTCCGATCTTTTTGGAAGTGGATCAAACTCAAATGGCTCGCGTTTTGGGCGTTCGTCACCGGCAAAACCAATGAAGACCTATTTAGTCCGGAAGGTTTGTGGAAAAAAAAATATTGAAAACGAAAAATTGTTATTTAAAAAGCGGTGCTACTGTAAATTAGATATAGTGCATTGCGGACAATGCGCGAGACTTGACGCCAATCGCACTTTATTTCATTTTCGAAATTGTTTTTTTTTTTCGCAAAACTCGCTTCAATCTCATCGTCCATCAAGCAAATTCGCATTTTTCGCCGATAAAAATCGAGAATGCATATATTTTTGCATGCAGTTCGTCAACTCCCGCGTCGACAGCCGTCAATTCAACCCAGACATAAAAACAAAAAAAAAGTGTTTTCTTTTTCGGGCCGACTCGAATGACTCAACTGATATAGAAGGACCAACGTATTCATTTATGCAAACATATAAATTGTGTGTGACTCATTTCGCTTATCGATTCGCGTTGCGCGTCCACCCAGTCATTTTCGTTTCACTGATTTCGTTTTGCCTCCTCAATTCATTTCTTATTGTGACCTCGCCGCCACTCAACCTCAATTATAGTACTAATAATGAATTCCGAACACATTGCGAGATTTTATTGATTTTTCAACGCATTTTTTCCAGTCATAATGGCTTCGTCGAAAAAACAAACCGGAACGTTGCCACAAGCCCAACAAGTTGTGCACAAGGTAATTCGGCTATTTTCAAGTTTGAAAAAATGCAATCACTTAATTAATTGCAGGTGATCATGGTTGGAAGCGGTGGTGTCGGAAAATCGGCGCTAACCCTTCAATTCATGTACGACGAGGTAAAATTGCAGCCAAAAAAAGCAAATAATCTGAAAATTTACAGTTCGTTGAAGAATACGAGCCAACAAAAGCCGATTCCTATCGCAAAAAGGTCGTTCTCGATGGCGAGGAGTGCTCGATTGATATTCTCGATACCGCTGGTCAGGAAGACTATTCGGCAATCAGGTATATTTTGAAATTTTCAATGTCTTCTCTTCTTCACGAACAAAAAAATTTCAGGGACAACTATTATCGAAGCGGCGAAGGCTTCATTTGCGTCTTCTCAATTCTCGATATGGAATCGTTCGAAGCCACCAGCGAGTTCAGGTAATTCTTCCAAATGACCTTCTTCCAAGGCTATTCCATCCCCACTCATCGCCTATCCTCAATGTCTTATTCGATTCCATTCCTTATAGGGAACAAATTCTGCGCGTCAAAAACTCCGACAACTCGGTGCCCATTGTGCTCGTCGGCAACAAGGGCGACATGCGCGATCAGCGCGTCGTTCCCGTCGAGCTCGCCCGCCAACGCGCCGAACAATGGGGCGTCCAGTACGTCGAGACATCGGCGAAGCGTCGCGAGAACGTCGACAAGGTCTTCTACGATCTGATGCGCGAGATGAAGCGTCGAAAGGGCATCAATCAAACCGCCGCCGGCATCGACGTCTCGCACAACGCCGGCCGCAAGAAGCGCTCCGGAATCAAGAAGCATTGCGCAATCCTCTAGCTTCATCCCATTCTCGCTAGCTTCTTCATTCGCCATCAGTTTTCCTGTGCAATTTGCCCAATTTTTTCTTCTTTTTTTATTCATTCTAATCCCCGAACTTTCTCAATACTCTCTCATCCTCTCCACTTCTAGATGAACGTTGCCTTCTAATCATTCTCTCTAACCATACATCTGCGAAACAATACACCTAAAAGCCGGGTCATTTCCTATTTTCACACAAGTTCATAATCGTTGCCTGAATAAATATATTAGTTTATTGCCAATTATTGTCAAATAACGTATATTAAGAGCAGGTATCACGATGATTCTGGAAAGCTTTTCTCTTCTTCTTTTTCTTTCATGGAGTTTGAGTATACAACAAAAACAAAACGAACACGATTTGGAATAAGTTAAATAAAAAGAATTAATGACTCGAACAACAATTTCTTAGATATCACCACTTGGCGACGCCGGTGGTGGCGTTGGCGGGCGTCGCCCAATTGGCGTAGTATTCTGGCGGGGCGGCGGACTTTGTCGTCGGCATTCCTGAGGTTTGCTGCTTGAACAACATGTAGAGATCGCGGTAGCGCTCCTGTTCGCGCTGAAGCTCGCGTTTCAGCGCGTCGACATCCTTCTGGAGTTCGGCGTTGCGCTTCTCCAACTCGAAGACGCGATCATAGGCGATTTTCGGACGCTTCATGTCCATGTCATACTCATCAGGCGCTGGTCGTCGTCGAAGATTGCCGCCGCCGTTGGCCATTCCACCACCATACCCACCACCACCATTCGCGCCACCACCCATCGCCGAGTTATAGCCCATGTCACCGGCGAAGCCGGCCCTCGGAAAATCGGTGGTCGGCGGTAGTCCGCGACGGCGGCGATCGCGCTCGAGATCCACGTTCACGTGCCAATAGCGGCAGCGGCTCACACCGCGCGCGCATCGATTATTCTGGAACTCTTTGCAGATCGGAATTCCGCCGATTGTGTCGCCGGTGCTGACGGCGGCGATGGCGCGCGCAAGTATAAGCGTCAGCTCGCGCGTCTCCTTGTAGCGGTCGACTTCATCGCGTGGCGCGTGTACAAATCGGCAATTTTTGCGCTCGCAGCCTCGATTCTACAAAAAACACGTGTCCAATTGCGAAAAATGGCGTGGTTTGAGAGGGTGTGTGTGTGGAACGAGAAAGACGGCACAACAGCGATCTTTCCCCATCCACCAAATTAAATATGATTCAAAAATGAAAATTATTATAATCATCTACGCCGCGATATCTCTCCTACGCACCTGATAGTCTATACAGAAATTGTAATCATCGTCGCCGCTGCTAGTGGACCGCGCATCAGGAGGATGGTAAAATTTGCAGCGCGAACCGCGATTGCAAATGTTTTTCAGAAAATCGCGGCACACATCGTCGCGTTCGCGCTCGGGCGGCCGCTCGGATTGGCTTTCTTGCGGCGCCTCTTGATTCTGCTGCATTAGCGGCGCCTGCTGCTGGTCTAGCTGTTGCGGTTGCGGTTGCTGTTGCTGCTGCGGTGGCGGGCCTTGCTCACTTTCGTCGTTCATCTAAAAAAATAAAAACCAATCAGAATGCATTGTGTTAACGATGTAAAAGAGAATCGAATTGAAATAACCAACGAAGCACAATAGTGATGATAAACTGAGAAATAATGCAAATAAAATATGTTGATAACAAAATCGTTTCGAATTTCATAACAATTTGAAGCTAGATGAAAACAAACAAATGTTTCGATTCATCGAATATTATAAACATGGGAAATTGTTGCAATAAACAATTCGATTATTTTTTCGAAAAAAAATTCTAAGACAAACATTCCGAAACTCTTCGAATATTGAAAATGCAACTGAATAAACACCAAAATTAACGTGATTCAACGTTTTTCGCTTCAAAACTTATGCGGAAACCATAGAAAAAATATTGCCAGCACAAAACTAATCGATAAATTAGTAACCAACTCCCAAAATTGGAGTTTGATGCTCAGGGATGAATGTCGGTGGACACGTCGCGTATCAGCGAGCGCGGTTCGGCCACCAAAGTTGTTTCAAAATTCGGCCATCCATGTGATGGTGCTCGCGTTTTCTCAATCTCGTGCGATATTCTCCGGAATTTCGATATTTTCTCGCAATTTTAAATTACAGAAAGATATTAATGAGGAAAATATAAGTGCGCAGCGCGATTTAACGCAAAAATCGCGAAGAAATCGTCGAAAAATCAATTTATTGGAAAAATATTGAGATTTAATTTCTTATTACGAAATCTAATTGGGAAACGTGTTCTTTTCTATTATTATTGCTTATTCTCACCTTTAATATTTGATAGACATCTATATTCAGAGATTTCAGATATTTGCTAATGACAAACTGATATGCCACCATCAAGCACGTTATTCACTCGATCACGTAAGTTCACGACAATTTATCGATTTATTTAAATTTTTTAAAGAGTATCGTGATATAACAAATGAAATTGGGAACATAACGATGAAGGATACAACACCGAGAATTGTCCGAAATGGCGAAAAATCGAGGCGACTTCGAAAATGTAAAATTCTACGAAAATAGCAAAAAAATGTTGCAATTTTTCAGCGCTGATTAGCCCAACTAGCGAGAAAACGCCCGGATTGAAGCGAAAAAGGTCGTCAATCTCCGGAAGATTGTTTAGTAAGCAAAAATTTGCCTAAAATGCATTCTAATGGAAAATTGCAGAAAAGCATGAAGCTGATGAAAATCTTGATGAATCCGGAGGCGAAGAAGAAGCCGAAGAGCGAGGATTCGCTATTTCCAAGTAAATAAAGCGATTTAAATTCAAAACTAATGAAGAAATTGTTAAGGCCATCGACAAGTCACGGAGAAGCTGGCAACGATGCTGGAAAACAGCTGAAAATTAATAGCATTTCATCGCGAAAGGGAGAATATTTTGTTAAGAACGGTGAGTTTCAAATTTTTCTGTTGAAAAAATGAAATCAACTGGGGGAAATTTGCAGCCGATGGCATTCCCACCGAGAAGTTCAGCATGAGATATCGAAATTTGCTGCACAGCGGTGAAGATCCCGACGACGACAGCGGCGATGAGATGCCGCCCGGGGTTCACGCTCAAATTGCGCTTAACGACAGGTAATTAGCAATCAGCTGAATTCCGTTTTAAAATTGCCCGAATTAGATGGAAGCCCGAGTACAACGACGGTGTGCAGATGCTCGTGAATCCCGACGGATTGCCGAAATTCGAAATCATCGACATGCACATCGAATTGAAGCGAAAATCGCCATTTTCTGTGTAATTTGTGTGATTTTCGAAACAAATTCAATTTTGCCATCGTTTAGGCCGAACAAGCTCATCACCGTCGAGCCGTGCAGCAGCTCCGAGACACATGAGCAATTTTGCATTTCCGCGCAACGATTGTATCAAGGTGACGCGTTGGATGAAGCTTTTCTCAAGCTATTGAACGCGGTATATCAATTTTTGTCGAGTTTTGTTCGTGGAGACCAAAAAAATGAATTGCAGAAACGCGCGAGAAATGGCGTCGATCAGCCGTATCTCAAAAGCAGCACGTTTCTCGACATCATGAATCATTTGGAAATCTCGAGCTTCCGCCATATTCACGAGACGCTCCTCAAACCGCTTCATTCGCCGAGCACACGTCTCATCAATGACGACGAAGATTGCGATATTTGTCGAATAGTGAGTGTGATTTGGCGACGACATTCCGCGTTTGCGCACCGCCCGCGGTTTAGCGTAAATCGATAACCTGATGTACAATATTGCAGGCCGAATGCGATGTCGACGATGAGATGGTGTTTTGCGATGGGTGCAACGTGTGCGTCCACATGTCGTGCTACGGTCTCACAACGCTGCCGGAGGGCGAATGGTTGTGTCTGAAATGCACCCTGTGCAATGGTGTCAATCCGCCATGCGTTCTCTGCCCGACGATTGGCGGCGCAATGAAATGCACAAAGCACAAAGAGCGTTGGGCGCATATTGTGTGCGCGTTGTGGCTGCCGGAATGCCGATTCGGCGACATTGAGAAGAGGGAGCCGATAATGGAGATCGAGGAGATACCCGAAGAGCGTTGGCACCTCAAGTGCTCGGTGTGCGACACGCGTCAAGGCGCCTGCATACAGTGCACCCATCCGGGATGCAAGACCGCCTTCCATGTGACGTGCGCGCTTCGCTCGGGATTCACAATGAAAATCGAGCAGGACACGACGGATCCGAATCAGGATCGCGTCGCGATGATATCGCTTTGCAAGAAGCACACGTCGGCGTCGATGAGCTCGTCGAAATCGGACGAGAGCTCGCCGACGGAATCGAACGAGCAACTTCGACGATTGGAGAAGTTCTTCTACGTCTACGCGGATTTTGAGGAGATCGCGAAAACGTTTGTCGATGTCATTGAGGGACCACACATTGATTTTTAATGATTTAGAATGTGCCTGCCGTCGATTGTCGTCTCCGATGTCTATGAGTATTGGAAGCAGAAGAGAGGCTCGCTCGATGGGAAGCCGCTGATTGTTGATCCGCAAGATAATATTTTGGTAGGAATTGTCGAGTCATCGATCGCTCAATGCGGCCCGAATTCAGATCAGCCCGGAAACGGTGAACCTGTGCCTTCCCAGTGTGCCGGGTGTCACAATCAACAAGAGCCAACTTCAAGTGGGATTCATTGATCCGCGTCGAAAATGGGAGAAGAAGATTCGCGAAGGTTTCGACAAGGTTTTGAATAATCGATTCACGGGGCATTCCACCAATTTTGTTCAATTATTAAGGATTCGAATTTGTGCTCGATGCTCATCAATCGCGAGAAGCAAAAGAAGAAGATCGTCCTCGGCGAGCATGCGATTCTCAACGAGTTTTGGGATTTCACGACGAAAAATGTGGTGTCGGCTCGCGCCGCCGATGGTTTGCTCGAGCTCCTTGAGGTTGCGCTGGAATCGAATTCATTCAAAACTTCAAACGTCTACTTTAGAATCTCATGCACGCTGAAGACGTCAGAGAAGCGAAACGCATTGGCAGTCGACCTGATTATGTGTCATCGACGAAGAAACGCTTGGAGCTGATTCGCGAAGCGACACTCGAAAGGGACTATGAGCCGCCGATTCTTGATCTCAAGCCGGCGGTGAAGCCGGGAAGAGGAAGGAAGAAGAGAATGCCAACGACAGTGTGAGTTTTTAGTTGCTAGCAAAAAAGAACTCGAATGTGCAAACAGGAAATGAGATAGTGTTTCGAAAGGTCGAAGTCCGATTGATAAGCGCGCACTTATGCATGCTTCTAGAGAGCTGCGATTATTGGAGGGTTTAATTTGATTTTCTTTAGAACACCTACGCAAAATGTGATCTACAAACCGTTGAAGAAGCGCATTTCGGCTGAAAACGCGGACGTTGTGCTGAAAACGCCGCCGAAGAAGCGCGGAAGGCCGTTCGGGTGGCGAAAAGTGAAAACCGGCGCGAAATGTCCGAGAGTTCACATTGTCACCGAGAATTGAATAATGCGAGTTTCTGAAAACGTTGTGTATATAGATTTATTCCCTATTCCTAGGTGCTCGATTGTGCTTTTTTTTGAAGAATTTTCTGATCTTGTTATCCTAAACAACGAATTGATGAAAGAAATTGAGTTTTCCATGTTTTTTTTTCCACCACCACGTTATTTTTTTGTTGTCCTTGTTTGGAGCAGTAAACGAAGATTTTTATTATAATCATTATTATTATTATTATTATTAACTTCGTACTGGCAGTGGACCATATTTGGGGGGTGGGGGACGTATTTAATAGAGAAAAAAAAATTGAGGATTTTTAGATTTGGGAAAGACGGGGTGATGTTGTACTATAATTTCGGTTTTTTGTTTTTTGAATAACAATTTGGGAATTCAATTATAAAGCTTATAGATTATGCGTTTTTTTGTTGAATTATGTACAATTCCTTTCTGTTTCGTTGGCGTTTTGGATCATTTTGGGGATATCGGGCTCTCGCGAGGTGGCGAACTCTCGCATGAATCGCATTCCTGAAAAAAGCGAAAATTTTCAAATTGTGGTGAACTCGTGAAATTTAAAATGCCTTAGTAGGCGTTGATTTTAGCGAAATAAAAAAAAATAAGAAATGGCTTCTTCAAAATCGAAAAAAATAAAATCCTAAAAGATTTCGTGTAATTTTTTGTCACGGTGTATGCACAACGTTGTCTACAGTAACCAAATGTATCACAATTTCAAGCCTAATTTCGGGATTTTTTAAAAATAATAAAATCACTAACACTTGATCCCTCATTTGGTAGCTGAACGAACTGATAAACTAATCTCTGCCCATCGACCTTTTGCAGAATTCCGCGCTGATAATAATAGCGTAGTGCGCGACCCATCGTCTCGTAGTTCATGCTCGGCTTGTTCTTATGCATTCCCCAAAGTTTCGACACGGCTTTCGAGTCGACAAGTTTGAAGACGCCCTAGAATCGCAAAAAATTGGCTAGAAATTGATGGAGATAAGAAAAACCTTTGTCTGATCGATCCATTTGATGAATTTCGGGCAATAATTTTTGTCCTGAAGTAGGCGCAACAGAAATTCCCAAAGATAGGTGACCTGCCCATCGCGGCTCTTCTTCTTCGAGGCGCTCGTCGCCGATGAAGCGAACGGCTCGGAGAAGCGGCGCGTCTCCAACAAATACGACGGAATCGCCGTTGGTGTGCACGTGGTGAGCAAATCGCCACACGATGGTGCGGCGGCGGTGGTGAAGTTTGTCAAAAGCGGCGCTGAAAACAAAAAAGACCTCGTGGATGGCGTCGATGGCGCAACTCTCACCAGTCGTCAGCAGATTCTGCTGAGTGGGTGTCGGTGCGATGATTGGCGCATTGGCGGCTGATAGGAATTGCGAGTTTGACGTCGTCGGGCACAGAAGCGCCTGTTGAAGCCAGGGTGGCGACGTGTTCGTCGACTGAGCTGAAATCTCAAATTTAAAGGTGCAATCGGTCCCCTCACGTCCCCCGTTGAAGCGAATCGCGTAGAGGATCCCGTTCGAAAAACTTTCACTAAAGAACACGGAACCCAATCGCATATGATATTCGAATGTCCATAACATAACTAATAACACGGCCGGTCGCGTCAGAAATCATCGCGCGCGCGCGCGCTCCACCATCATTTCAAAAAAAAAACCGACGCCGTCGTTTTCGCTTTTCTCATATCCTGCCGGACTTCGAATCCGGACGGATTATCCAGCTTCTCGTTTCGCGTCTCGCGCCTCCTTTTTTTCCCCTCGTTGCTTCCGGTTCGCCGGCTAATAAGCCGTGCCTCTTGACTGCAATTATGCGGCCCCGAATCCATTTGGGCCGCCGATTATAATTGCCAAGATTTCGATAATACCATGTCTTGTTTTTCTGATAAGTCACGACAGAAAACGGATGTACAAAATTCGAGAATTGCAAAAATCAGGATTGTAAAATCGGGGTTTGCGGGCCACACGCTTCCATCTGCGGACATTTTCCGGGATAAATGGCGCCGAACCAGCGCGCGACACCATTTTGCACATATGCGATTACTGCTGCGGACACCTTTGCGGGCGCGCCAAAATTACAAAAGCGTCCCTCCTTAGCCGAAATTGTCCAAATTTGGTATTCAGCGTGTCGCAATATAATAAAGTGAAATCGGCGAGTGCGCGTGCGTGACCCCATCCATCCGTCGTCGGAGGTGCGCGCGCGGCGCCTTCCGTGCAGCGCCGTATTTGCTCATCAATTTTCGCGTTCGTTCCGCGCGCGCGCGCCCGCTTCGTCCGCCGTCGTCCTTCCGCAGAGCACTCACGTTCGATGTTTGCACATCGAACAACTCATTCAACTCCCCCTATATGGGAAAAATAGGAGGTTTCGGCTTACGCCTCGTCTAGACAAGTGAGCGCGACGTTCGAAACAGTGCATTTTTGTTGTGTTGTTGCCAACTACAGTAATCCGAAACTCTCGAGAAACTCACCGTTCAACCAAGGCCAGATGAATGGCGAAATCGTGGTGTTCGTCGCGGCGCCCGAATGCCACGTCATCTCGTTCGTCGATGCCGCGCGCGGCGGCGGCGGTGCGAACGCGTGTCGAGTTGCCGACGATGACGTCGTCGACGACGACGTCGACGACGACGACGGCGACGTCTCCGGTGTCGAATCGCCGCCTAGAACAAGAATTTATGAGTGCCGTGAACCTCCGTCCCGCTCTCTCTTACCCAATCCCGAGTCGGGACTGCTCGTCGCGTCGAGATTCAGCGTCGTGTGTTTGTCGAGAAGCTGCTGAAGGATGGTGATTTGCACCGAGCACGACGTCGGCTGAATATGGAGCGTTGTCGCGAGCATCACAATAAATAAATGGTGATGATTATGATGGTCCCTGGTGGTGGGGAATATTCTGCTAGCGAGGCGCACGCTGTGAAATGCGTCGGGGCGGATGCACCACCGCAAAACGAACTGATAACTCGAGGGGGGCGACGAGTCCGATGGTCGCTTTTTATGCAATCATGTGATTAGTCGAACCCCCCTCCCACCCATACGCGATATTAAACAATAATGGAGTCTTGCATGGTCCCAACTATCATTGTTGAAAAAAAATTCACAAAACTATCGTATTCTCGTCGAATTGGAAACATTTGGAAAGTGGCCAATTTCGAACCGCAAATTTTTTATTTCCGCTTTTTTTCTCTCTCATAAATATCAAAAAACAACATCTGCAATTTTGATCTACCGTGATTCCACCCCAACTTGGTTGAACTATAGTGCAATACTAGCAAGAAGGTCCCCCCCCCTTCAACTCCTTATCAATTTCCTGCTTCCTTGTTTCGCCGTGACGGCGTTATCAATTCTGATTGTGAAAGTCGACACCATGCTCTAAACACTCACCACGTTGAGGAGACTGTGTGCGAGTACGGCCGGTGCCGAAATGCGCCGCCCGTCCGCGTATTTTGGCGTCGGACGCGAGACGTGCGGCACCTCTTCCTCGTCGGTCTCCAGCTTCATCTCGACGTCCTGCAAATTTGGTTTTCGAAATTCGAATTATTATAAATGATCATCTGCGGACATCTCACCGGCCGGCAAACAAAAAAAAACCAACCAACGCGGAATGAAATTGTCAAAAAAAAAAGAAAACAACCATAGCGACCCAATACGATATTTCTAGCCGATTTCATTTGATCTTGATAAGAAAAATGAAGAACGGGGCATATTAAATATTAATAAAAAACTAGATATATATTAAAAATCCATAATTTGAGGGGACACAAATCCGGCGGATTAGTCGATGATTTGAAATAATAATAAAAAAAACCGAACCAAACCTCATGAATCGTCGTGCCCTTATTCGGTGTTGGTCGAACGATGAGCAACGGCTCGGAGGGACCTTGTAGATGGATCATTCGTTCTCGCGCTCTCCTTCGCCTTGTTATTACGGTGCGGCGAAAACGGTCGGAGAGTGAAGGCGCTGCGCAGTCAGCGCCTTCGGCGTTCCGCGTCTGTTGTCCCGCCCGCGGAAGCGATCGCGAGCGTGCGCGCGACCCCCCCCCCCCCTCTTCTCTCGTGCTTTCAAGTTATTTGCCGAAATGGGCGTGGCCCAATAGCATATAACAATAACACGCCAAAATGATGCCCTCAGTTGGTGTTGCATGTAAAGGGTGTCGTCACAACGCTTCGGAGATCGTTATGGTGAGAAAGATTCATCAGCGGACAAACGGCGGGCGCGGGCACGAACCAGCGACCCGCCGCACGCTGCGGCAAAGTTTTACCGACTTCGCCACGCGTCGACACTTTGCGGTGAGACTAACGCGATATATGAGTGTCTGCCATTGCCGACCCCCCCCCTCTCACCCGAATTGTCAATTACAAGTCGATGCGAATAACTGATCATGCTTTATTATTCAATTAATTACAACCAATTAAGAAATAATTTACAATTAGGCTTCTCTCTGAAGGTATTTTGTACGGTTTGTCTCGATCATCTCCCATTTTCGGCAATCGAACACAGCCCGCCAAGAGCTCGCATCAAGCGTGACCTGCAAAAAAATCAACCTTCTTTAAAATTGAAATTTTTTAAAATTCTTTAAATAACGATAAAGCTAGTTTCAAATTAGGAAACTTGATAAAAATGCTCATAGATTAAAAGCTTAAAATTCAATTTTTAATTTATTAATCATGAGGTTTCAGACAAAAAAACTAAGCTATTTATCAATATTTTAGAAAAAAAATGCACGTGCAAACAAATAGCCGAGTTTCAAAATTATTCAATTAAAAATTAGGTCAAAAATATCGGAAAATAAAAAAAACTAGTATGACCGTAAAAATGTGGCGAGACCACATCACCAACCTCCTATGCGCCTTTAATCACTACATTTGATTTATTAATTTTTTTTTGACATTTTTCTCGCCAAATTTCTCACCTTTCCGCTCTCCTCCAAATCGACTTTGGCAATTTTTCCCATTTTGAGGTTTTCCAACGTTGCCGCCTGATTTTTGGTCCTCTCGAGATCCTTCCGAATCGCCAACAAATGGAATCCCGGCATCGATTGTTTAATTCGCATCGCCGCGACATCCAATTGTTTCGACGAGACCAATTTCGTCGATTTTTGCCGTCCATTCGCTTCTCGCGAGCTCTTCTCGAGCTCTTTGTTCTTTTTCCATCGTTTGATGGCTTCCGACGCTTCTGACGTGTCGAATTTCGACGTCTCGATTCCCAATTCGCCGGCGATGATTCCCGAAACGCGTTCGGCGTACTCTTCAACATTTTCCTGCAATTTCTCCCGCGTTTTAGAAGCCAACAAAAAAAAAATAAACTCAAGACGAACCTGCTCCCTCCGGTGAACTGTCGGCAGATAAGTCACGTGAATTATGGTGAATGGGATGATGAAGAAGCACACCAAGTCTGTCCACCACGAAGCGCCAATTTCAGACACAGCGACTTTGAACGGATTCGGCCGCCAGGCTTTCACGGCGATCGGTTGAACACTATCGCTGATTTCAAAGCACCATGAGCTGAAATATCAAAAAAAAATCATTTTTTTTTTCATCAAAAACTTGCTTAAATTTCAGTAGCGCCTTATTTCCACTAGTAATTATTCCTTCCGGGAACGCCAAAAGCGGAAATTCCTCCCTCTCGACAAGATCTTTCGCTTGACGCACGAGTTCGGTTCGACCTCGCGAGGCGCCCAAGTCCACATAACCGAAGCACCTGCAATTTATGGTCCCCACTCAAAAGATGTCGCGAAAGCTACCATCGAATAACGCTCGGAATGTCCCAAATCGAAGGCAAAAGGCATGGCGAGACTAAATCGATGGCGGTATGATCCAAAATCGAGACATGATTCGCCACAAGCACCTTCGCCTTCTGGTCCCTTCAAAAAAAATTGGGTGTGTGGGGGTTTTTTTTTAATAAATTTTCAAATCTCCTCACTTACCGTTTGCCATGATCAATCACGACGAGACCCAGAATCGAGCACATTATTCGCAAGACGACACTTCGAAGGATCGTCGTCTTTCGGAGGAGGCACGCGACGACGAACACGTGGAATCCGACGAAGACGCGAAGAATTAGTGTGCCGATGGCTGAAATAAGTGACGTAAAAGTTGTTCGTGGTAAGACCAATTCCAATAATTTTGCTTATTTTAAACATTTGAGAAAATCGCGACGTTACAACAAGAAATCCAGAAAGGTTGGATAATTAAACATTCGTTTTAAGCTCATTCAATAAGAAATGGATAATTAATAGTTTAACAATTGTTTTTTTTAGAGGCTGACAAAATATTTGTGGAAGCGACGGCGATTTTTCACACAGACAAAAGCAAAAATTTTTTTCTTTTCATTTTTTTAACCAAAAAATTGTTTTTCAAGCCTTATCCTATTAAAAAATTCACCTATCGGCGCGTAAATGAGCATAAAACATTTGGAAGCTCCATTCAAAAATCGTCTCGTGTCGAATATCGCCTCAATCGGCATTTCATCATTATTCGCGGCGGGACCATCACCAGAAGCCAACGAGGTGGCGGCGGAGGCCATTTGCTAAAAATAAAAAAAACGGCGTTTCGATTAAATGAGGAGAAAAAATTGAAATATGTCACAAAATCACTGCAAAAACAGACAAAAATCAATTTTTAAAAACACGTAAAATTTCAAAAAAAAATTGATTTATTAATAAAATTCTATTCTTTTAAATCTGATTTTGGGTCGAGTTTTGGTTAATAACTTCTCATGGGTCCTAATTTATATATTTCATATATCTATGAGGTGATTTTCAAAAAAAAAAACGGGGAGGGTCTTCATATTAAAATCAAAATTTGGAAAAATTACAAAAAAAAAATAGCAGGTGGGGGGGGGTCGAATATTACAGAGGTTTTCAAATAATACACGCGCCAATTTTATTTCGGCGTTTTCCATTCCGAATCGAGCTTCTCAACCAACTGCGGACCTTCTTTCGTCTGCACCACTTCGTAATTGCCACTGTCGCCGGTTTCCGGCGTTCCGAACAGGCGGGCTCTGCAAACACCGACGTGTTACGCTGCGGACCATTCAAATTCGATCGCACACATACCTGGCGCTCGCCGCTTCAAGTTGTCTCATGCAATGCTTTGACATTCGCAATTCTTGCCTCAATCTCGTCAGCTTCTTCACTCGCATCACCTCGTCAAGCTCCTGATAGAAGCCGTTCAAGGGCTGAAATTTTCAAAAATTTTTCCCAAATTGAGCAAAAAAAAAGCAATCTTCCTACAATATCTTTGACGCCAATATTGGTGTTGGTTTCGGTCTTCGATGAAATCTCCAAAGCTTCAACAATCGTCATCGGACGCTTCTCGGTCGACACCGAGGCCGACGAGCACGGTTGCTCGTCCTGCACTATCGTGGCACCATCGTCTTGCGGCGTCGGGCTCTGTTCCATATTGGCCAAATCCGACATGCTCAAATTCTTGCGCGTCAACGATCCCCGCGATGACAGAATAATCGGCCTTCGATTGAATATCGACAATTTCGACGAGCCGGCAGCCAATCGCTTCGGCGCTTCTTGCGGAATCAACGGGATCGCTTCTTGCGACGCTCGCAAGTCCGCATAAAATTGCTGAGTTATGGTTTTTTGCGGGCTCTTGAGGAGCTCCGGATCAATCGGCGGCATTGACGTCTTAAAACGGACCATCGGTGGGCGGTGACCTGAAACACAAAAATTCGTGTCCCAAGAAAAAAAAACATTCGGCAAAAATTCAATTTTGTGTGCAGTACACCGATACGCAAAATCGCACACCATCGCCTACAGTAATCGAAACGAGAGGAAAATCGGCCACAAACCTGCCGCAAACGACCTCGCCAAAACGGATTTCAATGGCCGTTCGTCATCCTCCGCCTCAGCTTTCGGTTTCTTCAAGATTGGCGTGTCGGATTTGTCCTCCTCATCCTCGTCCTCCTCCTTCACATCCGTCGCCGATTTCGCCGCTTCTTGCTGACTCTGAACCAAAAAATAATAATAATAATAAAATCAAAATTCGGTTGACATTGAACATTATCAAAAATGATAACAATTTTGGGGTGTTGATGATAACAACAAAAAACGACCCGTGAGACGAAACTGTCAAAAAAATTATAAATCGAAATGAAAATGTGTTTCCTTATCACTCTGACGTAAAATCGCTACCAAACTGCGTATCGTCTTGAATTTCAGAGGCTGCCTTTTAATTGGGTCCCATACTTCGTTATTAGAAACTTTTTAAAAAGCCAAAGGACTTGAAATTCATTAAAAATTATGCTCTTTCCAATAATGATGATAAAATAAGAAAAATCTTGCTCTTAAGTGTACTTCCATACGAGACCCAGGACGATAATATTAAAAAAAAAAAGTAAAACACGGAAAATTACCGCCATTTCCAATGTCGCCGACAATTTCGGCAGCGAAACGACCGCTTTTCTCGGCTTCACCGCCTGCGGTAGCATTTTCGCGCTGATGAGCCGCTTCACCGCCTTGGCGCGTTTCTCAATCATTTTGGCGAACGCATAATCATCAATTTTCTTTTTTGGCTCCTCGCTAGCGAAGCTTTTCGCCGGCGAGTTCGGACAACTCGACGCGTTGTCGCCGGTCGCCGAAACGCGCTTCTTCACCGGCGACGTCATCGCCGACATCGTGCCGCGCGCCGAATTCTTCTTCGCCTCTTCCGTCTTCATCTCTTTGCTCATCTTGTTGTATTGCATTTGGACGGCTCGCTGGAGTAGATTGCAATCGTTGATCGCCGTGCCGCCCTCTTTTCCGACAAACGACAGCGTGCGAACCGCTTTTTTCCGCCGCGCCACATCGTCATTCTTCTCCTTCGCTTGGAAATTCTTCGTCGGCGATTTTTGAGGCGACGGCGTCAGAATGACCTCATCGACGGGCGGCTCGCATCCATGATACGCCACGTACACATTTCGACGCGTCCAATTCGCCCAGCTCTCGATTGGCTCGAGCTCAGAAGCGCGACAATTCATTTTCGCGAACTCGTAGATCCGTCTGAAATTCATTGAATCGATTTGTGCAATTTGATTCGGGCATCGTCACCTTAAATGGCAATGCTGAATCGGCGGCGATAGAAGATGCCTCTTGAATCCGCTGATGGTTCGATATCCATATGTGCATTTTCGGCAGAATGGACACATGAAGCCGAGTGAGGGAATCTGCAAAAAAAAAAAAACAATTATTTCTCGGGACCTCGAAGACGGCTCACCTCAAAATTCTTAATTCCATTCGCCATCTCTTCGGCGTGATCAAGTAGATGTTTCTGAAGTTCGACGACGCTACACGTGCAATAATCGCATATCGTGCACACCCACGGCACGCGCTTCTTCGACGGCGTCGTTTTGACGTCCGGCGATATCGCCACCGGAACGCCGAACGCCTCAATCGCCGCTTTATTGAAATTATGATTGCGGAAGCATTCTTCGGCGAAATGCTCGGTGCAAATCGGGCCGCCGGCAATCGAATAGCTAATCGGTCCGACTTTTGAGCGCAATATGTCCTTGTATTTGAATCCGAGAAGGTTCGCCCAAATTCGACGACGATCGAGATCAACGGGAAAGTTCAAATGCATTTCGCCGGCTTGCATTTGACGATTACACACGATACAAGGCCGATGGGTCATTGTTGAATAGCACTAGAGTTAAAAAAAGGAAATAAAGTAAAAATTTGAATTTGGCATTACCGAGAATTTTCGATAATGCCCTACAACGATGATGCGCAGCCGGCCATTTTTATTGCGTCGAACCTGAAATCCAGCAGTATGGCGTGTGTGTGTGTGTTCACGAACTTGCCTCCAGATGCTCTCCTTCTACAGGCGTTTTGGTGAGCCGAATCAATGTTTCCGGCACAATTTGGCATGGGAAGCTGCTGAACACCATCTCGGGCTCAACTGAAACTCAATGTCAAATTTTTGAACTCTCTAATTTCCACATTCGCTCACGTTCTTCAAATTCGTCATTCGTTGTACTCGATTCGCGATCAACTGGAAGGACAATCTGAAATTTTCCAAATTGCCTCTAAAAAATTTCTAAATGAAATTAATACATCAATATCGGAGTTTTCACTATCTTGTTCGGTCGACGCCTGGGAGTTTGAGAGACTTTCCTGAACAAATCGATTTTTCGTGAACACCGAAATTCTCACCTTTTTTATGGGAGTTCTCGCATCGTCTGGGGATTCATCGTGCTCCAGACTCACCTAAAAATGGAAACAATGAATATTTAATTTTTGTGAATTGGAAAAAGCCAACCTCGGTTTTGATTTTCTTTGGCGATTGTTGGGCCGATGGCAGCGGCGTTTTCCGTTTCGCCGAATTGCCACGCATTCGAGTGTTGTGCAGACGAACGTCTGACATTACCAACAATCTCTGGAAGAATATATTAAACTATGCAAACTATTCTAAACGATGTGTAATAGTTATTGGAAACGGGAGGGCCCGAGAGGCGCGATGAGTCAGTGCGCAAATTTTGGAGTGTTTCTGTCTCCCACTCATGCATCACCGCAAACACCGAGCAGCGCGTTGCGGACCAGACAACGCGCTTTTTAATAATGTTTAAACGAGGAAGTCGATCAAGTGGGCGTGAGATCCAAGAAATCCGTAGAGATGAACAGAGAAACGACGCATTGAATCAATAATTGGATACGATGTCTTAATGCGCAGCATGTTGCGTAGATACGATCAATCGGATATAAAGACCGCAATTACAATGTTTTTATCTGGGAAAATCAAGATTTTAGTCAAGAAATCGGCTAAAAACGCGAAAAATAGGCGACAAAAATTCGAAATTTTGAATAACCGCCCATATTGTTACTGTTAATTTTCAAGGAGCATGCATAAATTTCTCATTGGTCTTGTACCTCGCGTTACTGTATTAACATTTTTATTTGAGAAATAATTCGCCGTTCCCGAAATTCCCGTTTTTTCGTTCACAAAATTTTTTTAAAATACAAACTTGCCAATAAATCAATTATTTGCTCCATAAATCCTCAAAATTATCGCAATTAAGCAACTATATAAAATTTATTTCAATCATTTTTACAATTACAGAAATCAACATTATGCAATAAATAGTAAATGAAGCAAGCAACCAATTAATCGACTTCTTCGACCGTCGGCCCATTTCCACCAGGATAATTGGCTCCCGAGAATCCCGACGATTGCGCGTTTCCGCATCCCGCCGACGCGCCGCTTTGCTGATGAAGCTTCGCCATTATTGATTGGCTGATCTGCTTGAGCTCTTGCTCCTTCGCCTCAATCTCCTCCTTCTCAGCCAACGTGTTCAACTCCATCCAGCGAATCGTCTCATCGCAAGCTTCTCGCGCGCGCTTCGCATCCTCCGGACTCAAGCGGCTGCCATGCTCATCCAGCGCCTGCTTGCACTGAAACGCGTACGCCTCCAGCTGATTTCGAGCAGCAACTCGTTCTCGCTGAGCGCGATCCTCCTGCTCGAATTGCTTCGCCTCATTCACCATCCGATCAATTTCGGCTTGTGACAGTCGTCCCTTCTCATTCTTAATCGTGATCTTGTTCGATTTTCCGGTTGATTTGTCAACCGCCGAGACATTCAAAATTCCGTTGGCGTCGATGTCGAACGTCACATCGATTTGCGGAACGCCGCGCGGCGCCGGCGGAATGCCCGACAGCTCGAACGTTCCCAAGCGATGGTTGTCCTTGGTCATCGCTCGCTCTCCCTCGAACACCTGAATCGAAACACCCGGCTGATTGTCAGCATACGTCGAGAATGTCTTCGTGGCTTTTGTCGGAATCGTGGTGTTGCGCTCAATGATGTTCGTCATCACGCCGCCAGCCGTCTCAATTCCCAAACTCAACGGGGCAACGTCAACCAGAAGAACGTCTTTGATCGAGCTGTCGTTGACACCGGAGAGCACGGCAGCTTGAACAGCAGCTCCATAAGCCACAGCTTCATCCGGATTGATCGAGCAGTTCAATTCCTTAAATTCTCAACATATCATGTTTGATAATCCCAAAAAATTCGCGCTCACCTTTCCATTGAAAAAGTCCTTGAGAAGCTTCTGGATCTTTGGAACCCTAGTGGATCCACCGACAAGAACAACCTCATCGATTCGCGATTTGTCGAGTCTCGCGTCGCGAAGCGCCTTCTCCACCGGCTCCAACGTCTTTCGGAACAGATCGCCGCAAAGTTCCTCGAATCTCGCGCGAGTGATCTTCGAATAGAAATCCTGTCCATCATGAAGCGAGTCGATCTCAATTGTGGCTTCAGAAGAGCTCGACAACGTTCGTTTAGCACGCTCGCAGGCGGTTCGCAAACGGCGCAGTGCTCGTGGGTTCTCTGGAATTGATTATTTTCAGAGATTTGAGAATGTCAAAAACAAAATTCACTAACTAGAAATGTCCTTTCCAGTCTTTCTCTTGAACTCCGCCACCATATGCTGAAGCATTCGCTGATCAAAGTCCTCTCCTCCAAGATGGGTGTCTCCCGCCGTCGATTTGACTTCAAAAATCGATCCCTCGGCGATGGTGAGAATCGAAACATCGAACGTTCCACCGCCAAGATCAAATATCAACACATTCCGCTCATCCTTGATGTTCTTGTCGAGACCGTAGGCGAGCGCGGCGGCCGTCGGCTCATTAATAATCCTGATCGCGTTGAGACCCGCAATCGTTGCCGCATCCTTCGTCGCCTGCCGTTGGCTATCATTGAAGTAGGCGGGCACCGTGATCACCGCGTCTTTGACGCTTCTCCCCAAATATGTCTCAGCGGTCTCCTTCATCTTTTGCAGCACCATCGCCGAGATCTCCTCCGGATTGAATTGTCGCCGTTCCGATTTGACGTCGACTTCAATCACCGGTTTGCCATTCTTCGATTTGACGGCAAACGGAAAATGCTTGATGTCGGCCTGAACAGTCGCGTCGTCGAATCGTCGACCGATGAGTCGCTTTGCGTCGAACACCGTGTTCTCCGGATTCCTCGCCGCCTGATCTTTCGCCGCGTCGCCGACAAGCCGCTCCGATTCGGTAAACGCGACATATGAAGGCGTCGTCTTGTTTCCCTCAGAATTGGCAAGAATTTCAACCTGAAACACAATTCAAAATTTGGTTGGAAGCGCTGACAAAAAAAAAGCAATCCAACCTTTCCATTCTGATAGACTCCGACGCAAGAATAGGTGGTGCCAAGATCAATACCAATAGTATTGCAAGATGACATAGCTTCGCAGATTCGTTTCGTGAATGTCATGGGCGTGGCCTAAAGCATCTCCTTATATAGAAGAGCACCCCTCATTCTAGAGCATTCTCGAAGCTCTGCGATTCTTCGCTTCTCTGGCGTCTCTTCCAAGAAACAAATAGCATTCACACGCGCGCGCGCATGAGGGGGGTCTTCTGGAATATTCAAGAAAATGCTAAATTGGTTCATTTCTAAAAAATTGTCAATTTAATCCCAAAAGTCCAACGCTTCATCTCGAGAATAATTGCTGTTCGGCTCTTCTTGCGAATGAATCGGAAATATGCTCTTATCTGAAATGAAAAAAAAAACAACAGTCAACATTTGACACCTCCATATTAGGGGAAATCAGATTTCCAAAAATCGAACCTTCCTGCATAAAGTCGACAAAGTCCTCATAGTCGGCGCTTCGTTTGATCTCTTCCAGATAGTCATTGAAGTGTTTCGACATGTGGAATTCGAAGCACATCTCCTGTATCGACCTCATCTCACCAACAAGCACCTACAAGAAGCTCGTGCTCGAAAGTGGTCCCTTGCTTGTATACCTTGAAGAAGTTGTTTCTCGTCGAATTGTCTGGAAGCGAGCACATTCCTCGTATCGTGATCAATGACTGTTCGCACGCCTTCTTCGCCGCCTTGTCGGGATCCTCCTCAAACTCGTTCTTGAGCTCATCCCAGCGTGAAACCTTAGCCTTCTTCTTCTCCTGCGGCGTCATTGCAATCTTCGTCTTCACATCATTCAATAGTTCCTCCAAATCTTTGGGCTCCAATGCAATTCGCTTCCTAGAAATCTTCTCAACCGTCTGAAGGTTGAACTCCCTGGCGAGTCGCTCGAACAAATCGTGACGCGATTCAAGAATATTCTTGTTAGGCGCTAGACACTTTTGAATAATGCTTGAAGCATTGAACACTTGGCTGAAGTCGGTTTCTGGAACGCGATTCGATAAGAATTGACGGCTCAGAGAATTACCATTGGGATTCAGCGCCTTGTTCTTCACACATATGCATTCCATTTGAAATGCCGGGTCGAGGACACCTCCGGCTTCGAAATTCTCAGCTTCTTGCCCATCGAGCTGCATCACATCGATCAAATCATCAATGGCGGCGAGCTGGGCGACGGTTGGCCGACTCGCCTCATCTTCATCCAAATTTCCGAACTTCATACATTTCATATCATCAGCGAATGGTAGACGGAGCGCTCTTAGAAAGTACGTCTCCGTCTCGTCATCCCTGTGCGGGATCAATGCCATCAGTTGAAGGTGAGTGCTTGCGTTGTAAGCGTATCTACAAATGGCGACGACGTCAAGCTCAAGCATTGCTTGGATCATCGCGATGGTGCAACGAGTGAAATTCTGAACGATCATCTCATGTCAGGAAGACGTCTAACTTGAAAACTTACAAGATTCAGGGGCTTTGACACCGCTGGAATTACTGTGTAAGACTTGTCGCCGATGAAATACGAAGGATGAATCTGAAAATCGAAATTCGATGAATGTGTCCGCAGCAACAATTGGATAACATTTGCCCGCTTAGTGAACTGTATCAGCTTCAAGCATCCGCCCTTTTCGCCCTCATTGAAGTTATGATTGTTATATTGCTCCTTGAGCTCGTTATCATCAACAAATATCAATGAGGTACCGAAATAGTAGCCGTAGCAGGTGTCATCCTTCGAGAGCTGCTTCACCTGATAATCAGCTCCAGCCGCTTTCGGCAGCTGAGTCTAAACATCACTGCATTAAGAAATGGATTAACAAGCTTCTTACAAATTTCTGAACTTCGCCCTCCTCATTTTCGACTCTCAGCTGATTCACGCGCATTACCTAAATAGTGAAGGGTCTTGAAGCGATAAATAATGGACGTGAAGCGAACATTTGAGCCGAACTCGTTTGCCAGCGAGAATTTGAGTCCCGAGTTGGTTTTGACACTTTTTGTGGTAAATGCGAGCGGCAGCCGAATTCCAGGAGCAATCTGAAATTGGGGCGTCTTTTCTTTTGAGACTAACATCGATTCTTCAACAAAACCTCCCAAGATTTATATGAAGCTCTCGAATCCTTCTCTTTGGTCGCAAAATGCGATAAACATCCGATCATATTCCTAAACGCCTTCATATATGGAATTTTGTTTTCATAAATTGTTAAGATTACTCAAAACTGAAAATTTGGCCTTCCAGAGATTCAGCAAGGTCTGCAATAGTATTATTACAGGTTGAAGTCTCGGAACCACTGAAATTTCAATTTTTTTCACATGCAATTCCTTTTAAAGGTACATCGTGATGAGACCAACGCTCAACTCGTTAAATGTCGCCTTCATTGTCTTAAAATCCTTATCTCCTAGTGTGCAATCGTTCGAAATCACAACAATTGACATTTCTGAGCACACGGTGTCGGTTTTTTTTAAATATTCACACCAATTTACCATCGACAAGGTCTTCTTCGGAAGCAGCGTGATCTCGGAGCATCTGAAGTGCAACGATAAGCCCGTTGGCCGCTGAAACTCAATTTTAGCTAATAATCAATCAACTTTTTATACCAAATTTGGCAGAGTTATGATTAATGCTCAATTCATTGTTAATAAACCGCAATTGGTCGAAGTTTGCCCTCTGAAGGGTAGAATCATGAACTTGAACTGAGTCGAGTTCGAGTTCATTGACGGCCAACTTGGTTCCGAATGCGACAACTGCAATTCGATCCGTTGAATCCGAGAAAATCTAATAATTATTCCCGTTATTTGTTTGGAATCCCGTCGACCTCATTTTTCACCTTTCTTGAGATTATCCAATCGGCCAACTCTTTTGCGATGTCGATTCCAGATTTCCCTGTCTCGTATTGTTTTGCCATATTCGAATAGACATCAATTAATAACACAATCGCGTTATGCCGTTTTTCTTTCGTCGATTTCGGCGGCATTTTATGCACACTCTCAAAAATGCGAATTAAATTGAAAAAAATTGAGAAAATTTCGAAATTCGCGGCCGATTTTTTCTTGCTGGAAATTTGGGAACTACGATGCTCCACGGTTTACACCAATGCCCGCAGTTTAGCGGCCAAGCGGTTTTAATTTTTCATCACATTTGCAAATTTTTTTTGGAATTTCTTTCAGAATTCTAATGATAAAATTATTATTTTCAATTTTTAACATAAAAATCACAAAATTATCTTCTTTTTCGCCGAAATTACTTTACAAAATTATATTTCAACATTGCAATTGGTTGGTTTTAGGACGAGCACTAGAAATGGGCAAACGATCGCACAATGACGTTGAAATGGACGATTCGGCGATTTCAGCAGCGGGAGATCCTTCGGCTCCAACCACTGAAAAGGATGAATATGCGGCTCTCTGCGCTTTAGTTTGTTTTACAAATTTAATTAAAAATTAATTGATTGTGTTTTAGGTGAACCCGATTGCCCAGCCACTTGCAAACCGAAAACTGGCCAAAAAGGTTTATAAGCTGATTAAAAAGTCCGCAGGAAGCAATAAGACTCTTCGCGAGGGAATTAAGGACGTTCAGAAGGAGTTGAGAAGAAATGAGAAGGGAATCTGCATTTTGGCCGGTAATTTTAAGAATTCAATCCAAAAATTTATGGCCAAATTTCAGGAAACGTGTCTCCAATTGACGTGTACTCTCACATTCCAGCAATCTGCGAGGAAAAGGAAATCCCATACGTCTACATACCATCTCGCGAGCAATTGGGTCTTGCCGTCGGCCATCGAAGACCATCAATTCTAATCTACATCAAACCAAGCGATGACTACCAGGAGCTTTACGATGAGGTTGCTGACACTCTTCTTCATCTCACCGTCGACACCAATTAATTCCACATCGTTGTTATCTATTGTTACTTTACCGAACTTTTGTTTTGTTGAATTTTATTGTTGTTCACTTTGACCTCATTGTTGTTTTAAAAAAGTATACATAAATGGTTTTTGGTAAAAAAAACCATTCGATTAATTATTTTTGAATTGATTTTGAAGAATTCAATATTTATTTTATTATTTCATGCCTTTCAAAAATTAAAATTCATTTTTAAGATGTTAAATGGTCAATTAGTGTCGCCCGGCGACAAAGTTCTCGATTCAATTGGAGATTATCGATTAGGAAAAGGGCTTTATGAAGCAAACAAGCGAATATTCGCATCAGTTGCCGGTTTTGTTAATATTTATGGATATAAAGATGTAATTTTTATTACTTTTTCAAGAAATTCAATTGAAATAAGTTTTTGCAGAAGTCTGACAATCTTGTACAAGTGATCGAAGTTCGACGAAGCGAAAATCAGGTCGACAATGAGCTTTTGCCATTTGATGGAGCTATTGTAACAGCAAAAGTCATGGGAGTTGGATTAAGGTTAGAATTTTTCTAATTAATGAAAAACGAAAATTTGGGTAAATTCTCCGATTATGGTACGCGGAGTTTAAAAGCGCTTAAGTTTTTTGGCATGTTGCCGAATTTTCTGCGGCGCCGATGATTTTTAACGTTTTAAACCAGTTTTTTATTGCCATCGCCAAAAAATAATAAACGAGTTCCCCGGTTACGGACCATAGTTATTTTCCGCGACTACAATAGAATGTTAATTTTTTCCAGTGTAGAAAAAACTTAGAGAATATCATCTTTTTTTCGCGCCAAAAATTAAATCCATTTTTTAGGTACGCGAAATGCGATATTATCGCAATTGGAGATAAAGTTTATAAAAAGCGATTTGCTGCACTTATACCCAAAAAGAATTTGAAGCCGAAAGAGCCGGAATTGGTTGGAGAGAATCGCACGAGATCATCTTAATCCAATGTTTCTTTTTTTCAGTTGGAACCGTTTAAGAACTTCGTCCGACCAAACGATTATGTCATCGCGAGGGTTTGTGACGATTCGAGCATTAAGGATAAATTTGTGCTAACAATCGCCGAAGATCAATTGGGTGTGGTTTTGTGTCGCGGGAGGTATGGCGAGGCGATGAAAATGGTAAACTGGACGACGGTGGCGTCGACGAGGACCGGAAAAACGGAGCCGAGAAAACTGGCGGTGGTCCCGCAACTGTGCGCACTTAAATACTGATCTCCTGTTCAAATTCCCAAATTAATAAAGCAAAAATTCATTTTGCGACTAGAAAATTAACAAATCAACCGGTATCACTGGAATACAAAGTTTTGGGGGCCGTTTTTTGGTTTCAAAGACAATTGCCCATCATATAAGCGGCACATCATCATCGATGTCGGTGAGTAGGGTGTTGTTATCGTCGATTCGATGCTCGCCGGTTACCGGTGTCAATTCACTGAACTAATTGTTGAAATTAGACGGTGAAGCTTGGCAATTGGCGCTGATTACCTTGAATACTGCCTAGCGCAGCTTCCATTGGAATAAGTATTTTTGCCATTGGCGATGACGGTGTTTGTTGAGCTTTGCATATCATCGGGAATCTCGGGGAATTGCAGGATCAGGTTTTCCAGGTTCTGCGAAAAGAAAAATGTTTATAATAAAACAATCTTTAAGACTTACAGCGTTTGGCTGATGCTGTATCAGCGTCTCAATAGAAGCCCTTCGTCGCGAGCCAGAAGGCTCCATTAAGCTCATCCCATTGCACAATCGATCTAGATGAGGGGATCTGATGGGCGATGAGAAGGATGAGTCCTCGGTGTCTGAGGATTCCGATCGGAGTTCGTCTTTCGAGTGCAACTCCCTCGAATTCTTGATGAGCAACGAATCGGTGGCGCGTAGGAGGCGCTTCGGCTCATTTGTCGTTGGGTCTTCCGACGATTTTCGAGAATGCTGACCGAACGCGATTTGCACATATGAGTTGGCTATGTCATACGATGGCGGACCACCGGACGGGTCGAAGAGCTTCTCGACGGTCGGCGTCGCCTCGCCGCTGTAATTCCAGTCGGATTTCACCACCGTGTGCACCGACGAGTATGGCGGCGCTTTTTCGGGAAGCTCTTTGGTTTTCGGCGGCGAATCGTCGATTTCGCACTCGAGCTCCCTCTCGTACATGACGCGATGGTAGCCGACAATGTACATGACGAGGTCGTCGAGGTCATCCTTGTCGACGAGAAATTCGAGGCCCTTACAATTCAAAATTGTCTAACTAGTCGACAAAAAAAATCGATACCTGATGAGGGTTGTTGGCAAGCCGAATGCTGATCAGCGACGCCACTTCGGTCTCGCGATTAACCACGAGTTTGCCGATGAGGTCGAACCCGATCGATATCGATGGCTGGCCGGATTTGCCGGGATGTCGGACGAGAAGGCCGGTTCGCGGCTCGACTTGCATCAGCATATCGATTTGCGATTCTTTGAACGTCACACAAAACGATCGGCCGCCAAATGATGGCAGATGGGAGACGATGTGAATGTATTTGAGGCGGACTATCATGCTCGGCTCGCAGCCGGCGACCGCTGATAAAATTCAATCAATTTCAATGCACTATAATGATGCCTTACCGTTTTCGATGGGCTCTGTCGGTTTTCCAAAACATTCGCTCAATTTTGACGTGTCCCTTTTCAAGTAGAATCGAATATGCTTCCGGACGTCGCGTCGTTTGACGTTTTCCAAGACAATTGCTGGCAGAAATGTCGCCAATCCATATTCTCGTCTACAATTTATGCGTTTTATTGAAAATGTGGGAAATTTGAGGAAGTTTTGAAGAAAAATGGCCAAAAATTCGGGTGTCTTTCAAAAAATAAAAAAAATATTACTGTAGTTTTGTTAAAGACGCATTACCGAGTTGTTTAGCGGTCTCGACTCAAAAAGCATACGGTCATGAATTTTCAATTATTTTTTGAGCGTTTCATATTTTCTTGCCCATTTTTCTCGTGTTCCACACCAATTTTTTTCATTCATTTTTCGAAAAGCTCTTAAAAATCCAATAAACGACATTCATCAACGATTTAAATCATCAAAAAACGCACTCAACACGATTCACCGACACTTTATTGTTCTCCTTGAGGAGATGACAATCGAATGCAACTTGCTGCACATGAAGGGCAGCCAAGCGTATGCAAGCTTCATACCTAAAAACAATGAATTTCGTTTTTCTCGATTTTTAGCAGAAAAACAAATGTAAGAATGACGAATTACCGCATTTCCATGGCGAATCTCCCGCGAACAACATCATTGACGCATTGCTGATAATAATATTCGAGGGCTTTCGGATCGGCTAGAAGGAGCACAAACGCATCAGACGGGGCGAACGAGAGCCGAAAAACGACGCGAAGGTGCTCCGAGTTGGGCATGTCGATAATCTAATCAAAAATTGATTGATCGATCGCTTTCAAGAACGCCAACCGTTTGAATTTTACAATCCGGCCGCAGCATGCTGATTCGACTCGTTCGCGCGCCGAGCGAGTACTCCAAAGCGAGCGAGAAATGCGCGCGGGCGACAATTTGCAATTTCTCGAGGATACTATCGCGAATCGCCTTCACCGTCGTCGTCTCGTCGTAGCGAAACGAGCGCGTCTGGCCGTTCTCGAGATAGACGCGAAGCACGTTGGGAAGCGTCGGCGGAAACTCGGAGTTGTTGTTGGAGTGGTTGGCGACGAGCACGCGATCGGTGAAGCGCACCTTGCAATTCTTTCGCGACGACTTCGGACGCTGCGGCAGCTGCTCGACGGTGATGCGAAGCTCGTCTCTCGTCGAACGCACCGCGTAGACGACCATGTCTTTCGTCTCGTTCTCCACGTTCTTGCCGTTCACTTCAATTATCTGATCGTTGGCGAATAGGAGGCCGTCGGACGGGCCTTCGGGCGACACGAATTGGATGATCGTCGGCTGTTGGCCGGCGGCGACGAAGCCGAACCCGATGTCCTTGCCGCGTTTGATCGTCACCGTTCGGCGGCCGTCCGGCGGTCGCGCTTTTCGCGGGTCCGTGTACGTCGTTGCTCGATTCAGATGGCTGAAACCGCGCGGATCGATTTATTTCTATAATAGGGCAATGCAGAAAAATTAAAAAAAATAATAATGAAAAGGAAAATGTGATGAAAGAAAAAAAATGAATCGAAGATACGCGTGATTTTTTTTGGTGGATTCGCAGGCAAATCAAATATTGTTGAGAAATGACAAATGTATCCAGGTGTCGTGGGATCTTGCGTTTTGTACGCAATGCTAAGAGACAATTACCGTAATCCTCGCAGCGATTTACGGAGTTTTATTTTTAATTTTTTTTGCTGAATTTTCTAATTTTCTTTAGAAATCTTATATTTAAAACCTGTAGAAACCGAGTTTAATTATTTATTTTTCAGAATATGCACTTTTCCATTTGTCTAGTTGAGTTGGGAATTATTGTGAAGATTTTGACGCTCTAAAAATTATTTTGAAAATGAAGAATACAAAAACAAGATAATAGAAACGCATACAAAGAGCAAAACACGATTAAATAATTTTATTAACGACAAAAATGATTTCTTTTTAATCTCTGCTGTTTTTACCAAAAAAATATCGTTTAAAAGTGCTTATTCTGCTAAATACATTATTAAACTCGGTTTCTGCAAAATTTAAAAATTTAAATTAAAAAATTTCGAAAGAAAATTAAAAAATTGAACGAAAAATAAAAAAAAATGACTATGCGAAATTAAAAAAAAAAGTCCCCGTAAATCGCTACGAGGATTACGGTAACTGTCTCTTAGCATTGCGTACAAAACGCAGGATCCTACGACACCTGGATACATTTGTCATTTTTCAACAATAAAATATTTTGAGATTCTTTGAGAAACTAACGTGTCTCTAAAATATTTTAGAATTTTCTCAATTAATTTTGGAAAATCTTAAAAGATTTTTAAAAGGAGTATTTTTAAGTTTAGCGATTTTTAATAAGTTTTAGAAATTATCAATAACTTTTAAAATTTCTCAAAATATTTTAGAATTTATCATTGAATATTTGATTCTCACAATATTTGATTTCATTTTCCTGAGAATAAACGGCAAACGAAAATATTTCATCAAAAAAAATTTTTTTTAATTTAAAAAAATAAAAAGAATAGAGATACGGTATTTTAAGACGCATGCCGTTTATTTATGCGATGGGTCTCGATGCGAATCCACCAAAAAACACGCGTATCTTCGATTCTTTTTTTTCTGCATCGCATTTTTCTTTTTTTCTGCATTACCTCATAAGGCAATCATTTTTTGCAGCCCAACATTGAAGGAAATATGCATTTTATTTCATTTTTTTTTAAATTGCATGTCTAAAAGTTGTTCAAAGTCGATTCAATAATTGCTCAAAGTGCTTCGGCCGCTATTCAAGTTGCAAGCTTTTCCTCGAGTCGGTTATTTCTCGGAAAAAAATTCTCAGAAATTCTGTGGAGCGAATAAAAAAAATGCAAACTGTGAACTCCCACTGCTCAAAAAATTGCAAACCACGGCCCACTAAACGGAGGGCAGTGTATTGCTGGAGTTTCGTTGCTCCTCATCGATTTATCGCTACCACTACGACACTCCAATTATGCGTCGCCCTCAATTTAGTGACAATAAAATTTGAGCGTGAATTCGATGGTCCCAAAACAAAAAAAAGAACTCACTCGATATAATAAATGTTGCCATCGTTGTCCTTGGCCTGCTCCCAACCATAAGGGAGGCCGAGGCGGCATCGCCACGACGCCCATGGCGGCTCCCAGTGTGAGCTGCGAGTGGTGTGGCTGAAATCGAGATGGGTGTTTGATTAAATTGGCGTTGTGGTGGGGATTGGTGGATGGCGTGGATTTTCAGCGGCCACTCACATCAGATCTTTGATCTCATCGACACTACCCGAACAACAAATACGATTGACCGGCGTCGCGTTGCTCGCGAATTGAAGGCTTTTCGATTTGATCATATTAGGGCATCTTGAAAAATGCGCAAAATAATAATAATAATTGTCGGCAGAACGAGAAATGGGAAACGATTGAAGGGGAGGGAATGTCAATCAAAAAAAAAAATTTTTTTTCCGATTTCCCTCTGAAATTCCAAAATCGAATTTGTGGCGACGACGACAAATTCGGGTGTGTTCAACGAAAACCAACAAAAAAAAACGGGAAGAAAATAAACCAATGCCCGAATATGGGCGAGATGAAATTTCTTATGTGCCGAGCTGCCGACCCGTTTCGTCAAAAGTGGTCCCCAGGCGGCGGCGCCGGTTTTTGAGGAGTCCGAAACGGCGGCCGAAGAAAGTGAAACAAGAAAATCGCAATTGCTTCGGGTTTTCGGGTACGATGCAACTAAAATAGAAAATTGAAGCGCGATTTTATTTTTTCATCTGCGGACAACTTACGGGTTTGGCGCACACTCGAATAATTGGCGATTGCTCGAATTTTTAAGTTGGACGCGAGGAGAGTTTATAACCGGGTCTCGCTTGGATCAATCGACACGCTTCCTGAAGGCAATGTGCTGCGGACAGCATGCGGGTTGGAAAATTGAAATTCTTTAAACGCAGATATAAAGGCAATATGCTGCTCGCTTGATTTCTAACTATCAAATAATGATGCTGCGGACACCACGCGGGTTGGAAAAATGAAATTCTCGGAATGAAGATTTAAGGACAATGATGCTGCGGACACCACGCGGGTTGGAAAAATGAAATTCTCCGAATGCAGATTTAAAGACAATGTGCTGCGGACACCACGCGGCTTGGAAAATTGAAATTCTCCGAATGAAGATTTAAAGACAATGTGCTGCGGACACCACGCGGGTTGGAAAAATGAAATTCTCCGAATGAAGATTTAAGGACAATGATGCTGCGGACACCACGCGGGTTGGAAAAATGAAATTCTCCGAATGCAGATTTAAAGACAATGTGCTGCGGACACCACGCGGCTTGGAAAATTGAAATTCTCCGAATGAAGATTTAAAGACAATGTGCTGCGGACACCACGCGGGTTGGAAAAATGAAATTCTCCGAATGAAGATTTAAGGACAATGATGCTGCGGACACCACGCGGGTTGGAAAATTGAAATTCTCCGAATGAAGATTTAAAGACAATGTGCTGCGGACACCACGCGGGTTGGAAAAATGAAATTCTCCGAATGAAGATTTAAAGACAATGTGCTGCGGACACCACGCGGGTTGGAAAAATGAAATTCTCCGAATGCAGATTTAAAGACAATGTGCTGCGGACACCACGCGGCTTGGAAAAATGAAATTCTCCGAATGCAGATTTAAAGACAATGTGCTGCGGACACCACGCGGCTTGGAAAATTGAAATTCTCCGAATGAAGATTTAAAGACAATGTGCTGCGGAAACCACGCGGGTTGGGAAAATGAAATTCTCCGAATGAAGATTTAAAGACAATGTGCTGCGGACACCACGCGGGTTGGAAAAATGAAATTCTTTAAACGCTGATATAAAGCAGCTCGCTTGATTTCTAACTATCAAATAATGATGCTGCGGACAGCACGCGGGCCTTTTAAACGCCAGCCCTCCTCCCACAGATTATTTGAATAAACCATTAAGGCATTGTGCTGAGATGCGGTGACGCAAATCACATAGATTAGGTGTATTATGCAAACTCTACAAATTGTGTTTATATTTGACAAAAAAAACGCGGAAATTGAAAAAGAGCAAGCATTTTTTTGTGCGTTGAATTGTTGATGTGAGAGCTGTGCGAAAATCACGCCGCACTTGGAAATTTCGTGCTGCGGACATTTGTGCGATGCCATAAAACGGAATGATTGACGTCGAGCTTAGAAGATTAGGAAGAAGAAAAGAAAAAAAAAGAGAGAAACAAAAAGAAGAAGAAGAAGAAGAAGGAAAAATTGAAATTTGACAGAGTGCAAAATGACACCAAAATAAACAATTTGTAGACGCTGCCGGGGGGAACGAAGACGCGCAAAACAGAAAAATGGCAAAACCGACGACGTTTTTGGAAGTTCCGTGGGGGGCAGAGGGAGGAAGGCAAATTTTTTTTGAAAAATGTGTAAAAATAAAAAAAAGATGAAATTTGATACTGTGGTGATAAAGAGTGGCATGGCGATTTCTTATACGCCTTCGAGCCGGACACCGCTAGTGGCACAGGTAAAACGGCACATACGAAAAATAGACGAAAAATAGATAATCATCAAAAATTGACTGTTTATAGACAATTTATTGTCTATAATCCGTGTGTGAAAAAACTAGACGGAATATAGATGGCCGATAGATGGAATTGTGCATGTTTGCGTCATATGTAGTGCATGCATACAATGCACTTTATCTCACGATTTCGGAATTTTTGCATTCATCCTAAAATTTTTTTATATTTTTTAAATCTTATAAGTGAAATTCTGTTATTATATATATATACATATATATGATGATGATATAAGTCTCAGTTATATCTAACGTTTCAGCGTTTTCAGTAAAGAAAGTTGCTATTGAAATGGAAAAGAGAAAAAGAAAAGCGGTTTGCCTATTTTATAACAAAAAACAAGCAATACAACGCTTTTCCAGATAATTAACGATGTTACCACCGAAATGTTGTTGGCAGAAAAGGTAGTTTTATAGTTATCGGAATAAATTACTTTTAAAAATTTAGCAAATTTTCCAAAAAAGCGTTGAGAAACCCCGAATGAGAAATGAAATCAATGCTGCGATGGTAGCTGAAAGTTCAAAAGAAGGAAGTTATTTTGTTTGATACATAATTGTCTATCTCCACTTTTCAGGATTCTCAGATTGATGATAGAGTTGCGATTGACGAATGATATATGTATGCTGATGCTGATCATAGGGTTTGTTGTCACAAAATATTGACTTGTTATTTATGCTAACTTTTTAGGCATTCTGTTCATATCAAAATACTTGGAACGTGCCGAACCTCATGAGAAAAGCATGCATAAACCCTAAAGCAAATCAATTGTATACCGAAGCCTATTGTGTGGTAAATCTTGAAAAAGTATTAAAATGTTGAAATAGTAAATTCAGAAAAACCTCGGAAATATGATGAAATCTAAGAAGCGTTTAAATTTTTATGAATTTCTGCGCACAAATTTGAATGGAATGAGAACAACCCAAGATGATTTGATGTGGATTTTTAATGTCGCAGTTCGAGAGGTTAAGAAGCTCCCACCGGCTGTGAAACGAAACCATTTGTTAAAAAAAAGAAATGTATGCTGTTCCTGAGGATTATGAGGAATACACAGAGAACAACGATGAATTGAGATCGGACGACGGATTAATTTAATTATGAATTTTCTTTAATAATAAAATTGATGAAAATAACTGAAAGTATACACAAACGGCGTGAAGGAATTTTAAATCCTATATATTTCTGAGCAACTATTCATCTATTTTTCTTGAAAAAAAGACAGAAAATAGACCATAAATCGACCGCGCAAATATCTACTCATTGTTCCTCTCCGGTGTGACGCCGGTCTGCAAACGGCCCGTTTTTCGTATGTGCCGTTTTACCTGTGGGGATGAATGGCGCAGGCGGTAAGCCGCGCGGTTTGCACCCCGCGCATTTTGCCCGGGTTCAAATCCACCCCGGCGGCCTGAAATCGATTTTTGCTAGTTTGAGGCGACAAAAAAAACAGTATTTAATCGCGTCATGTTGGTTTTTTTTAAAGGGGAGGGGGAGAGTCGAACAGACAACACACAAACACTCGGATAATTGGCACAAACGAACGTACTGAATGTAGAACATCCGGCCATTTTCGAGAACACACATATCGCATTCATCGATGAGATTGAGATTCATTGAATGATAGATTTGGTCGGCGTCGTCTGAAAGACAAGTTTCAGAAACGGAAATGTGCTGTCGCGTACCGGCATCATCGTCGATTGTCGTCGAGAACGTCACACGTTCCTCAATCGATTCCTGTCGGGACCCGTCCGATGAGTTTGTCGACGACATTCTGCTGCAACCCGACAATCAGACAAGTCAACAACAATAAATGAATAAATAACGTTGGGGGGGGAAGCGAGAAGTTTTGAAGTAAATGGGTGTCGGAAGACGGCCGACGGCGTTCACCGCGTCCGTCTGCGCCCTCCGCGCTCGCCACACTCTCTCGCCGCCCTCTCGCCGCCTGCCGCCGCCCGAAGCTGATGAGCTGCTGGCGCGCGAAAAATTGGAGCCCGACGGCCGGCCGGCTTCCCAAAAATGGAAGGGGAAGAAATTAGACGACGAAAATGCGGCCATTATGAAACTAGAGACTTGTTTCCATCTTCTTTTTTTTCCTCGAGGGTCCTTATGTTTGTTATTTTGTTGCGCTTTTTGAAGACCAAATTTGAAATCTGGATGATTTTAAGAGATTTAAGAGGCATGAAAATTGGCGAAAATGAATTCTCGAGGTCCGATTTACCTGGGGACCATCTTATTTGAACTGAAAATTAGATGAAATCGCCACATGAGGTTACAATTTGGTAACTCTTTGGAATAGCAGCTCAACACTTAAAAAATGAAGTCTAGGGGTCGCATTTACCTAGGGACCATCAAAATTCAAATAATAAATACAATTTCATTTAGCGTGCGATTCGGCTTTGATGGTCCGATTTACCTGGGGACCATGTTGGGGGGTAATAGCAGTTATCTGAAGAAAACGAGGCCTTTGGCCGAATTTTTCTTTTGCTGATTTTTTCCGCCAAATTCGATTTCTGTCTGCATTTTTACGTCACCGTGTTTGCACACATTTCACACTCGTGCGCGTCCTAATCAAATTTCAATCATAATTTAATTGTTTTGGAATTCAAAATTTCCAAACACAAATTTGTAGGAGATTTTTAGCGGAAATCAATTCTCGTGGTTACCTAGGGACCATTTTAATTCCATGCGAAATTCGACAGAAAATTGAATTAAAAAATTGACGTCATTTTTTCCATATAAATCGGACTAAAATTTAGGAGATTCGCAAAATTTCGAAAATTGATTCATCTAGGGACCATTTGGACACCTCAAACTCAAAAATAAGGCCGAAAAAAATGGAAGAATAATACTAGCGTATGCATTTCATCGAGTGGGGGGACGCTAAAAAAAATGAAATTATATTCGACAAAGGATGGAAGTGGCGGAATAAATAAATAGGAGACAAAAAATCGTCGCTCTTTCACTCACAATTTATGTACATACTGGAAAAAGGACGCTGATTATGGGCGGCCGATTATGCAAATCCCAACGCTCACAAACAATGCTGCTGCGGACACCTCGAATACGCAATGGGGGCGAGTTGGGTGGTGAGTTTGTCTTTGGGATTTCTTCAAATCATGCTGCGGACAATTTCGAGGCCGCGCACCGACGATGGGATGGCCGAAATGGCCGAGCGGTTTTCATCCAAATCATGCTGCGGACAATTTCGAGGCCGCGCACCGACGATGGGATGGCCGAAATGGCCGAGCGGTTTTCATCCAAATCATGCTGCGGACAATTTCGAGGCCGCGCACCGACGATGGGATGGCCGAAATGGCCGAGCGGTTTTCATCCAAATCATGCTGCGGACAATTTCGAGGCCGCGCACCGACGATGGGATGGCCGAAATGGCCGAGCGGTTTTCATCCAAATCATGCTGCGGACAATTTCGAGGCTCTCAACCCGCGAAGAGTCGGCAGCTGGAAGAAATTGAAGGACGAAAAACGAAATTCTGAAAAAAATGTGCCCAACAAAAAAAAGAGCGAAATAAATCGGTGCGAAAATCGGCATTCCATTTCTTTTTTTTTTGCGGGGGGGGGCGTGTTTCGTTTTGCTCATAACGAAAAAAACACATTTGAACGGGGTCCCGTGGGGAAAAAAACGCATAGCACAAATTCGGGCGGCGAAAAGAAAACGCCGAAATTGTCCGCAGCAGCACGAGACCGTCTATCGAAACCCGACGATGTCCGCAGCATGAAAATCGTATAGGGATACTCGAGAGCTTCAAAATTCTGAAGCCGCCCGTCCCCCTTCAAATGTCCGCAGCACGAAAAATTGATGTTCGAAAACAAAAAAAAAGATATGAAATGTCCAAAGCACGAATTTAATAATAGCGTTGTTTGTGTGTTTCTCGAGATGCCTCTGAAAATGACGTGAAAATTGAATGGCAAACCCAAAAAAGGGAGGACGGGGGGGGGGGCGATGGGACCATCGTAACTTCTCAATCAAAATGCAGCCGCACACCAATTAATCGGGTCAGACGTCAGTGTCTCAGAAGGCGAAATGGATTTGGAAGAAAAAAAAAAGAAAAAACAAAAAAAAAAGAAGAAGAAGACGAGAGGCGAATTTTGTTCGCCTCGATTTTAATCGTCTTTGTTTTGGCGTGCTGACGCTCAATTTTTTCTTGTCCGCTTGCATATTTCGACGAGGCGGATGGGCGTGTCGAGCACGCGTTTAAAGGCGCATAGCGGGTTTGTCGAAATTTGGCCAATTTCGTCTGATGGCAGCCAATTAATTATTGCGACGAGTCGGGCCATTCTACAGTAATCGGCTGGTGACGAGAGGGGTGTGCGCCTTTAAGATTGCCATCTACAGTAGTTATCGTGTTGGCTGAATTGATCGTTTCAATTATTAATTGAATGGCCCAATTCAGGGTCTTGAAGCGATGCGCCTTTAATCGAAAAATTTTCGTTGGGTCCCGAAGCGATGCGCCTTTAAAAATTGCTGACGTTGGCGTTGGTAAAAAAATTTCAAATTGAACATCTCGAATAGATCGATGCCGTGTATTTTTGGGTCCCGAAGCGATGCGCCTTTAATCGAAAAATCCTCGTCGGGTCCCGAAGCGATGCGCCTTTAAAAATTGCTGACGTTGGCATTGGTAAAAAATTTCAAATTGAACATCTCGAATAGATCGCTGCCGTGTATTTTTGGGTCCTGAAGCGATGCGCCTTTAATTGAAAAATCTTCGTTGGGTCCCGAAGCGATGCGCCTTTAAAAATTGTTGATTTTAGCTTTGGTGCAAAAAATGTTCGGCGTATGCGCCTTTAATTTCTGGGCGCCTCCCAAAAAATCAACTATCATGGTTTTTTGGCGTTGCTGTTCATTTTGGGTCCTGCCGCGATGCGCCTTTAAAAAATTTTTGATTTATCACATCTCAACCATTCAAATCGATAAGGTCGCCCTCGTGCGCCTTTAATTAATTGATGATGGTCCTGCCGCGATGCGCCTTTAACTGCAAACATCCAATTTTGGGTCCTGCCGCGATGCGCCTTTAACAATGTTTCACCGCTCATTACTGAATCTTTCAAATCGCGCCCCCCCCCCATGCGCCTTTAATCAATTCACCATCACTATAGGCTCGCGTCACGAAGCGTACGCGCCTTTAAACATGTCGAATCCGAATGCGCCTTTAAATTGTGGCCTCAATCGACGTATTTTTTTTGTTGTAGCTGACAATTCATCGAATAATGTAGTCGATGTATAAATTTTGTGAGGAAGCTCTAGAAGCTTCTTCGCCGGGGACCCCCCGCCTCCCTCAAAGGACCATTCTTGTTTCGGTCGAGTTTTCTCGGAAAAATCCTCGTCGTCGTCGTCGTCGGTCCAATTAGCAAATACCAACACACTGGCACCTAATTTGGCAAATTGGTGGTAGCTGCCTCCCCCCGGCCATCGCGGACCCCCTTTTTGCCATTCGCCTCATCTACTCACTTTATGGTCCCGTCGTTTGTCTAACATAAGCCCGTGGAAGATTAGAAGCAAAGACTTGCCCAATATGTCATTTTTCGGGCGGTAAGCCAGCAATTTTGCATCGCGGGTTCGAGCCCGCCCCCCACCAAAAAAAAAATTTTTTTTTCTTGCAAAACCTCTCCAAACTGCCGAAATAATCGAATTCGATGGTGAAGTGGTGGTCTTGAAGCGAATCGGAGGAAAAAGTGCACAACTCTCGAAGACGTCGTTATCGCGAAACCCGATCAGAATGTGTGCCCAGCTTTTTCATAAATGCCTCTCTCTCTCTCTCTCGTTTTTTTTTTTGAAGGGGGTCTTTTTGTTGGACGAGACACACGCGATTCGTCACCTCCCGTTTTGCCTTTTATATTCATAAATCGCGAACAAAAGAGATGCGACACGACGGCATTTTGTCTGTCGGGGGGGGGGAGAGGGGCCTACACGTACATATATATGTATATGCATATTGATGTACTCCAAACCAGAAGCTTTCAATTAATGGGGTCTCAAGCTTCTGGGGTCCGTCGCTCTCTCTTCTCTCTCTCTCTATATTTTTTTCCTCGCAAAAATCCATTTTCGTGTTGAGACCCAATGTGCGCCTTTAACTACAGTATCCCAATCTTGATTTTTTCAATTAATGGACCTCAAGCTTCTGGGGTCCGTCCGCTCTCTTCTCTCTCTCTATATATATATTTTTCCTCGCAAAAATCCATTTTCGTGTCGAGACCCAATGTGCGCCTTTAACTACAGTATCCCAATCTTGATTTTTTCAATTAATGAGGTCTCAAGCTTCTGGGGTCCGTCCGCTCTCTTCTCTCTCTCTCTATATATATTTTTTCCTTGCAAAAATCCATTTTCGTGTCGAGACCCAATGTGCGCCTTTAACTACAGTAGCCCAATGTTGATTTGGTTAGCCTGTCTCTTTCAATCTTCAAATTTTTCCCCGTGGAAAATAGAAGAAGAAAAAAATTTTTTTTCCTCCTCCTTTTCAACAAAATCGAACCCAAGGTCAACTTTCTTTTTTTTCCCCCTTTTTTTTGTGGCCGGAATTTATTTTGGAGGCTTTCGGAAAATGTGTGCGAACACCGAGACGCACAATTGCACACAATTGTTGTTGTTTTTTTTTCAAGGTTCAAATTCTAAATATTCTGCTATTTTAGAGCTCCAAGGTCAAAAATTAAAAATAAAAATTTCATTTTTTGAAATTGAATTTCGAAATGTCGAAAGTCTGTGTACACACGGAGACGCAAAATTGCACACAATTTTTTTCAAGGTTCAAATTCTCA